AAGTATGTATTCAAGTTGTAAACCTGTTAAATATGGAGTACCGCAAGGAACTGTGCTTGGGCCAATTTTATTTATATTGTATATAAACGACATGGCAAAAATAGTTAAATCCAGCAAAATAAAAATGTTCGCAGATGATACTATGCTATACATAGAAGGGAACAATTTAAATGTAATGAGTGAACTAATAAACAACGATTTAAAATTGCTATGTGAGTGGCTAAATAGCAATAGTTTATGTTTAAGGGTGAAAATCAAAAAATCTTTGGAAAACGACCTACAACAATTAAAAAACTAAAATGTTGCTTTTTGTCCATTAAACTTTTTAATATTCTAAAATAAAGATTTCGCAACATAATAAAGCTTATCTTTGAGATCAAGGAAAGGTAGTTTTTTGTTATGTTGATAATTGTTGTCTTCTGATCTCAATTATGTCTAGTCGGTAACAGTATAGTTTGTCGGGAATAAAGGTTCTGTAAATGGAATAATAATCAAAATATATATATTTATATACATATATGTTTAAAAAAATACTTATGGTAAATACCATTATAATCAAAATTGCAAATATTGGTGTTATACATCAGAAAAATGTAACAAATCTCATATCGACATCAAAATTTTACCGCTAGAACAGTTACCGATTAGACATCGTAAAAAAATACGGTAGCGTTTTTATGCAAACAAGCCTAAATATATTTTTTTAATGCATAAACAGAAAAACTTACCTGGTTTGAATGACACATAAACACTAACTCTAGCACACTAACCAACAAATGACAGGTATTACGTATCCTGGCGGATTTTAGGTGAAATTACAGTTATCGTTACCGACAGGATGCGATCAAAGCAGACAGTCTGTTACCCAAAGGCTGGATCTTTAAAACCAAATTGTTTTTAAATAAAATGTAATTTATTTAATACTTGGTGTTAGTTTCTTTAAAGTGATTTACATTTGTCCTGTTTTTAAAAATGATTTGATTGGAAAATCTAGCGTAAAATTGTAAAACGTAATAAGGGACGCGTTACCGACGAGACAAAATAGCTCTTTGTTTTTCTTTTTAATCGATGTTTTTAAATCTGGGTAAATATTTAATATAAATCTCGTATAATTAACATGCAGAAATAATACTAATAAGTTTTGAGACACTTCACTTCTTTTTCTAATTTTTAATTAGCCAAAGACGCCTACCTAAACATTTTTTGATTTTTACCCTTAAATGTGTCAAAAACTAAATTCTGTGTATTTGGGAGTAGATATAAGACTGTAAATGTTGATTTTAATTTTTTAAATATAAGTGTTAATAATGTCAAATTAGAATGTGTAAAAGAAATTAAATATCTCGGAGTGATCCTTGATGAACAATTAAATTTTCACAAACATGCAAGCTATGTAATGAACAAGTTAAGCAAAAAAGTATTTTTTATAACTAGAATAGGTAAAAATCTGTCCTTATACACAAAACTACTACTTTATAAAAGTATAGCACTACCACATATTTCATTTTGTTCAACCCTTTTATATAATTTACCCAGGTATATAGTTAATGAAATACAAATTATACAGAATAGAGCTATGAGAGTAATTTTAAATGTGAATCGTTATACGCCTATACAAACCATGATAAATGTCTTGAATATTTTGTCTGTGAAACAAAAAATATATGTTGATGTTATGTTATTTATTTTTAAGGTTAAAAACAATTTAGTACCTGATTACTTGTCCGATAATATTAAATATGTGCGTAATGTCCACAATTATAATACTCGTAATATAAACCATTTCCAACTTGATAGATGTAAAACAGTACAAATGTCAAACTTTACTATGTACAAGGGTATGCTTGAATTTAATAAGCTACCCCCGGATATACAACAATGTAGTGATATCACAACTTTTAAAAATTGTATTAGATCTCATATATTATCACTATAGTGATAATATATTTTAAATTGTCATAATGTATACGTATTGTCTTAAGTTTATATGATTTTATTTATTTTCTGTGTTATTTTATGTTTTTTATATATTTATAATATTATATGTTTTCTGTATAGCATTCTGGCTAATAAAGATATTATTATTACAGAGACTGAAGAATTTAAAAATACTGTTTCCATGTTAAAAACAATTCAATGTAAAACCCAAGAAAAAGTTTTACTGAAAATTTAAGGCAAGCAGTAATCGATTTTGCTTCAAAGAATCTTTAGTTATTTATTAGTTTTGTATTAGATACCTTAAAACAATAAATAAGATATTGCAAACTGTATTTTACATTATTTTGTATTTATAATGTAATTTATCCATATTTCAGTCATGTATCTGCCAAATTTTTAAAAATATTTGATAATGGTACTAGAGTATTTTTATCGAAATGGCTAAAACAATTTTAAAATACTAAGAAATATGCAAAACTTTAATAAAGGATCAGCTGGGATTTTGATAAATACATTTTTGTGTTACCAAAAGAGTCTATAATCAGATTATGCTATCAGTTTTGGTTGGCATTTTTGTTCGTCCTATACTTTAGTTTTGACCACCGTGATAAATAAGACTTCGTCAACTACTGTTTAAAAAATTTAAATATCCATTCATTTTTATTATGTGCTGAATGAGAATCGGCAATCCTTTAGAATGCAAATAAGTCAATATTTTGTAATACATTTTATTGATACGATAAAATTTCTATTAAGATGCTTTTAAATTTCCCCATCAATACATTTTGGTCATATCCGCATTCCTTTTTAAAGAATACCTTTGCACCCACATAAGATTCCTAGGTTGTAATTTATTGTCTATTTTTGAATTTGCGTAAATTTTTAATGTATTTATTTATGAAGGAGATGTTTTGTTATGGTACTTATATATAAGCTTTTAAAAAATGCCACACCTAGGAAAGAAGTTATTTTTAGTAGACACTATTTATGCTTTTTTGCTTTCTTGCTTTTTTGCTTTTTTGCTTTTTTGCTTTTTTGCTCGTTTGCTTTTTGCTTTTTTGCTTTTTGTGATTAATCCTCAAATATTAATTAATTAGCCTTTTTTGTAACACATTTGTTATAATTTTATAAAATTATTTATGATATTATCAGATATTATCTGTAGTTTTTTGTGTTTTTTGTTTTTTCTTGAAAAAGTTAAATGTTTGACAGATTTTTTGCTTTTTTGCTATTTTGCTTTTTTGGCATTTTTACTTTTTTACTTTTTGCCTTTCTCTCTTTAGTGAAAAAAATTACTTATTTATTTGATCGCACATCATTTAGGAACGCACTGTATATAAATCCTTAATATTTTTATAGAGGAAAAAAGTTTCATCACTCTTGTTATCTAAACCAATATTTCTTAGTACATATAAATTAATATTTATAAACATAAACTAGATAATAGAATTTAATTTCTCTTTTGGGGAACACCAAATTGTCATTATGTTTGTAATCCAACGGATTAGTTTTAGTTAACTAATTTCTTTATCAAAAAACACGTTATTTGACATCCTTAAGTTTACGGAAAAAAATCGAATTTCTCCATAATAAATGTTGTCAATTTTTCTTAATTCAATTAAAATAAGAAGATGTATAGTATTTCTTGCAATGAATTATACAACTAAAATTGTATAATTTTTTAGATATCCAATAAAAATGTTAATCACATGTTTATATTTTAATTTGTTTTGTTGTTACTTAATTAAAAGTGTATAAATCATATACTTATAGGAAATTGTCATTTTAATTTATAAGGCTTAAAAAGTACAGAATATTTTAATTGTAAAACGTAAGATTTCATAGGCGTCTATATAAAATAAATAACCACAACAAATTATAAAATGGTAATAAAATATTAATTTACTAATTATAGTAGGATATATTAAATTAAAAATTTATGCATTTTGCTGATATACATTAAAATATTAAAACCAATTATCATGGGCGTACCATATATATATTTTTAATCAAAATATTCGAGAAAATTAATTTTCTAAGCATACTAAAATATAAATTATTGGGTGAATATATTGAGTCCCCCAAGATAAAATGCTTATTTTTTATTTTTGGTTGTTTCACTGTTAGTCTGGAAGGGGGTTTTTGGGAAGCCACCAGTTCTAGTAATAACATAACATAAGTGGTTCTGCACTAAAGCAAGAATTTTAAGAAATCATACATTTTGAGTATTAGAGCTTTACGGAGGTTAGGATTTCGCATGTTGTTTTTAAACATCCCTTCGTATATATGAAATAAGTTATTGTATCTTTTGACACCTTAATATTTTTTAAAAATGCATAAAATATTTCTAAAAAAAATCTACTTACTGAGATATTACACTTCACGGTGGATAGGTTTTAAAATAGCAAATTAATGAACTTGTTGAATTATAAAACAGCAACACTCTCATCTGCATATAAATTCTAACTGACCTTCAGGAATCACATGCATCTGTAATGTACTAAACAGAGGTTTTTGCTTATTTAAAATGATTAAAGCGCCATCCGTTGCATAAAATTTAAAGTAAAAACAGATTCACGGAGGATAGAATCAATTTTTGTAAAATAAAAAAATAAAAAATAATTAATTAATAATTTTAAATACACATTGACAAGTTGTGGCTTTAGGGCGCTATAGTCACGGGCTGAAGTAAGCAACAGCTTTTTCTATGAAATTTTACATAATTAGATGATAATTATCGCAGAAAAAACATAAAGCAAAATAATAATAAATAAACAAACTGTCATGACCAATTAATAAAAAATAATCCATACATGTGACCAAAAATCTGTTTAATTTTTTCCTTGTGCACGGCACTGGCAGGTCGTACGGTTCACAATATGCAAGCGACTAGGAAATAGGAATTCGTCCGAAAAATAAAACAAGATTATGATAATTAGAGAGATTTCATATTAATCTTTTTTTTTAAATGGGCGAATATTTCGGATTCTTTACTAATTTTTTAGTGGGGTAGATCGACAATTTTTTCTCATATATATTCCCGGTCAAAATTTTTGATCATCACAGTACGATTTCACACAACCTCAAACAACATGTGCCAAAGTACCAAAGTAAGTAAAAAAGTGAAACAATTGTTAGTGTCATAGAGTAATAAGTGATGTTAAGTGCATAAGGTTTCAATAAAACTACGATAGAAATTTTCTGTAATCTATTTGTCTATTTCTCCGTTTAAGGATAAATATAGATCAGCACTCTCTTGTTAGTGACAAAAGAAGTGTTCTTGTTTTTTATACGTTCTATATTTCTGCACGAAATAAAGCAATTAGGCAATAACCAGTCTTAAGCCATTTAAAAAATGTTTTGTTGAATGCAACTGAAGAGGTTTATACGCAAATTCAAGGCGCACCACTTTACATTAGCAGTTTAATCTTATATGAGTAATCGACTGAAAAAATGCGAAAAAAATAAATCAACTCTTGTCTTTACTTTATTGTTCACGAACTGGTTGATTTAATGGAGTATAAACTGCTTCACGAAGCAATAATTTGGTTTTTTCTTTTAGGTCGTAGTAGCCGTCGCTTTAGTGACATTTGTAGTAGCCTTAGACGACTCGAGGAATGCTCAATTGACACACTACGAATACCAGAACGATGGCAGTGGTCCATTTCGTTTCGAGTAAGTATTACGAAGACACTGGATGTAATTCGAAAAATACAACGCATCTTTCAGTTTTGAATCCAGCGACGGCATCAAGAGGCAAGAGGAAGGAACTCTAGTTCACGAAGGCAGCGACCATGCAGCCGTCATCGTCAGGGGCTCCTACTCCTACGTAGGCCCTGACGGGGTGGAGTACACGGTCAGGTATACAGCTGACGAAAATGGATTTCATCCGGAAGGCGATCACTTTACCGTGCCACCATTCGTACCATGGCCGATTCATGCTGACGTCGAGCAGTATACCACCGGCGAAAGCATCAAAGGGGCCTATCAGACTCCTGCACAGGGGTATCCAAAGGGGGGTTCTCCATACAACTACGATCGCCCTGCTGGGGCCAGAGCTTTCAATTTGCCTTCTTCCTCAATCACCACTCCAAAACCTTTCCCTGTTTTCAACAGCTTCCAAGCCACTTCCCAGGAATACCTTCCTTCCACACCAAGCCCAAAACCTCTAGCCAAAAGAGAGAACAACGATGAGAAGTTCAGTGAAGTTCAAGAAAGCGAACACAAAGAAATTACCATCGTTTCCACTGAGCTGGAAAAGGAGAAGTCACCACATCATACCATTGAAGAAATTGAGGCTAAAGTGTAGTTTTTAACTGTTTTTATTTTAGTTTAGGAAATCGTACTGCTTAGGTTTAAGAAGATGAATTTTTATATTCTGTAGATATTTTTTTAATAAATGAATGAAAATTTATTTTTATTTTAATTTTTCAAAAAGGGTTCAAAAATAAATATGCAGAATATTGTGTAAGATGGGTGTCTGCAGTGCAGTTTAATGCCGATAAAAATGGTATAATATATAATATAATATTAGTACATTAAAGACCAAGCGGAGAAATCACTTTTTATCGCTGCACTGAAAGAAATTTGTTGCTAAAAGTAAATACAAATTTATACTAAAAATTTTATACTAGTGCTTTACACATTTATACTACTGTTTATTATGAATGTATGGTAAATTTTGTAATACATTTATTGTAAAGAAGATATGTTAGATCTAAATAAAAATAAACTTACCCTTACTATAAAATGTAAACTATAAGTTAATTACAGCAAAAAAATATTGCTAGAAACACCATTTATATTGCTAGGGCAGCAATAGGCTGCTAACCAAACGAATATATTTGTTTTAGCAATGTATGTGGTAGTCTATATATGAAACATAAAATATATTTGCCCTAATTATTTTTTTATTTAACTTTAGTATATATTTCTTTCAGTGTGAGCATACATTTCACTGCCGAGGCGTCAGCTGAGGCAGTAGATTGTGTGCGAGGCAATTATTAAGATTTCGCTGCCGTGTTTTATAACCTATTTTTTTTCAAGCATTGCATTTTTTAATTTTTTTAAATTCTGTCACATCATTTTTTGTTAGGTTCAACTGACGATGGCATTTTAGCTTATATTTTTAGTAGTAGTTATGTATAGTGTTATATTCTGCTATTATAATAAGAGTCTTATTAATTTTTTATATATTCATTTATTTTTAAATATATGAATTACTTTTGAATAGCGCTGCTGGGGTGTTTAAATAATGTTTATATAAAACAAATAAAATTTATTTTTATATAAAAATAAGTTTTACGTTACAAAAAATTAAACTACAATATTTGGCAATTACTTCATATAAATACGTAAATACAGTCCATTGTAAGTTTTACGCTACAAAATAAAAAACTAATCTTTGGCAATTACTTAAAATATGAATACGTTCAACACCAAATAATATTTTGGCACAAAGTACCAATTAACACTGTTAGATTGGTGTAAATTGTATGGCTCTTTGTAAAGCAAGCTTAAAATCTCGTGGTTTTATACAAGTAACCAATTCTTACCCATTTTGTGACTAAAATTTTTATCGAATCGGGAAATTCTTCTATATAATTATATACCAAATTTTTGCAGTGATAATCTCAAAGTAAAACTTCTATTTGCAATTCAGTGCTAAAGTTGTCATCATAAAATGCCATCTGCTGGTATCGCACTGCCAAGGTTTTGGCTAACTTTTTAAAATTTGTATTAAACTTGGCATCATGGACATGTCTTACTCTCAGGAAAAACATCTAAAAATAAAAAAAAACGATTAACTTATTATATACATTAAACTGAGCTATTATAAGAACTGTACTTAAAATTTGTCTGTACAAATTGGGTCGAAAATCGCGTTTTGTTCATTGTACAGTACAATGAACAAAACGCGATTTTCGACCCAATATGCAATTTTTGACATTATAAACCATGATGAGGAATAATACTTTGAAATTGACTTACCTTTAGTTATAACTATTATAATAATTATACATGCACCACAACTAAACAACTAAACTTGGTGCATTCTTTCAACACAAATTCTGAGAGAACAATGAACGAAACAAGTTTGCGTTTTTGTCAACTGAACACCCCCTGATTGCATATTTACACTAATGTGCACTGCCAGAGCTTGGCTAGTGTTAAATGAATATTTAAGTGTAAAGTTAGATTGATGTGGAACACTACTATCATTCCACCGCACTTAGACGAAAAAATATATTTTAGGATTGAAAATGGTGTGATGTTTTACACCAACTTTTTCACTCTACAACTTCCAACATAACCTATAAATGTTGGGGGGAAATTTAAAAATGGATTCCTTAGTAAAAAATTATAGATTTTAAGTTACAGGGTGTTTAAAATTTAAAAAAATATATAACTTTAATAAGTTAATATTTTTTGTATATGATATATGCAGATCATAAAAACAGTTTCAAGAAATCTACCAGACTAGAAAATTAGATTTCGTCCGGAAGATTAAATATAATTATGATAATAGAGAGATTTTCATATTAATCTAATTATTTTAATGGGCAAATATTTCGTTTTTAAATTTAATAACTTCTTTAGTGGGGTACATCCACAATTTTTTCTGGTATATAACCCCGGCCAGAATTTTTGATCACCACAGTACGATTTCATACACTCAAACAACATGTGCCAAAGTACCAAAGTAAGTAAAAAAGTGAAACAATTGTTAGTGTCATAGAGTACTAAGTGATATTAAGTGGATAAGGTTTCAATAAAACTACTATAGAAATTTTCTATAATCTATTAGTCTATTTCTCCGTTTAAGGATAAATATAGATCAGCACTCTCTTGTTAGTAACAAAAGAAGTGTTCTTGTTTTTTATACTTCCATATTTCTGCACGAAATAAAGCAATTAGGCTAATAACCAGTCTTAAGCCATTTAAAAATGTTTTGTTGAATGCAACTGAAGAGGTTTATACACAAATTCAAGGCGCTCCACTTTACATTAGCAGTTTAATCTTATATGAGTTATCGACTGAAAAAATGCGAAAAAAATAAATCAACTCTTGTCTTTACTTTATTGTTCAACAAACTGGTTGATTTAATGGAGTATAAACTGCCTCACGTAGCAATAATTTGGTTTTTTCTTTCAGGTCGTAGTAGCCGTCGCTTTAGTGACATTTGTAGTAGCCTTAGACGACTCGAGGAATGCTCAATTGACACACTACGAATACCAGAACGATGGTAGTGGTCCATTTCGTTTCGAGTAAGTATTACGAAGACACTGGATGTAATTCGAAAAATACAACGCATCTTTTAGTTTTGAATCGAGCGACGGCATCAAAAGGGAAGAGGAAGGAACTCTAGTTCACGAAGGCAGCGACCATGCAGCCGTCATCGTCAGGGGCTCCTACTCCTACGTAGGCCCTGACGGGGTGGAGTACAAGGTCAAGTACACCGCCGATGAAAATGGATTCCATCCAGAAGGCGATCACTTCTCAGTACCACCCTTCGTACCTTGGCCATCGCATGCTGACGCTGAAGATGTTGAAGGTTACCCAAAAGGAAATTCAGGATACAACTACAACCGTCCTGATGGAGGTAGACACTTAGAGCTAGATTTTCAAGCTATCCCAAAACCTTTGGCGAAGAGGGAAAACACTGGAAAGAGCGATCTTCAAGAGGAAAACGAAGAAGAACTCACCAACGGTTTGACGGAGTTGCAAAAAGAAAAATCAATACATCACACCATTGAAGAAATTGTAGCTAAAGTGATCAACTTGTAAATTTAAGGAAATCGTACTGTTAGTTTAAGATTTTATGTTGTAATAATAAATAAATAAAAATCGCTTTCAAAACATGTGTTCATTTAAAACATCCATTGTAAAAAACTGACACACAAAATCAATTACAAAACATATATTTAAACAATCCGATTAGATTTACTATTGAAAATTGTTCGCTCAAGTAATTTTGCAATTACATTGTACAGCATATGTCATGTCGTATCTTCTTCATCTTCCTATTGAATATTAAATTTTAATCGTTTGCCTTAAGGCGATTTTCAACCGACGCAAGTTATTAGTCTACTAAGTATTATACAACTAGGTGAAGAAGAAATTGATATGACTTTGTAATTGAGACTTTATGGTATACCTAATAGATTGTAATCATAGGTATTATACCGACATAATAAGGTTAATTTACATGATGTGAAACAAATTTATAAAAAAAAATTCTGCTCTCCATATCCCATTATAATTTTTCCATGTATTTTGATCCACTAAAAACGAATATCACACCCAATTTTTTTATGGAAGCGTTTTTGAAATATGAATTTTCAATTGTTTTTTTTTTAATTTTAAGAGGTGTTTTGACGTTTTTGAGTATAGCTTGATCGATTTGGCCCTTAAATTAAAGGTATTTGAGCTCTCTAAAACTTTCTTTTTCGTACTTTTGATATCGGATAAGTATTTTGACGCTAAAGATTTTAACTCAAAAAATTCGTTTTTATGGCAAAAATTGAGGTCGAAAATTTACCTATCGTCCTGGGAAAGGTTTAAATCAAACAGATAACTACAGTTTGATTTTTTTCGCGAACTGACATTTTTACAAAAAGAACAAGCTAATTTTGATAAAAATACATGGAAAAATGGCGAAGTTATGAATTTTTTAGTGGAAGACAAAAATTCAGCTTTTTGACGATTTTTATTTTATTTTTTTTCTTTTATTTTGTAATATGTTTATTCTATAATGAAAACCTAATTAAAGTGCATGATTGGAATTTGTTGCGTTTTTTACATACTTTTTTCACCGAAAACATTTAAATTTTACATGACTCCGCAAACGTGGATTTTGTTTCTCGTGTTGGCTTAGTGACATTTTACTGCTATTTTTTTATATTTCAACAAGGTATTTTTATCATGGTTTTATTTAGTTAATAAAAAGTGTAAAATGAGTAAAAGAAGTGGAGAGTTCGAGTGCGTAAATAACCCGGACAATCTGGGCGACGTAAGTGATGAGCACGGAGAACGTTTTCACCAGCAAATGAAGGCTATGGAGCGGCGGTATCACGGCTTCTGGGATGCAGCCATGGTGGGTGATTACATTTGGTCCCTCATACGAGAAACGGAATACGAAAGCAACAAAAAACAAAGGAGTCAGAATTTTTTAAACCTAGGCTTATTACAATAAAATAAAACTTTCAATATCTTCAATGTTCAATAATTATTGTTCAATACATAATTTAATTTCAATATTTAATGTTTAAAATAAAAATCAATGTTCAATATTAAATTTTATATATTTCGATAAAATGAAGAAAAAACTGAATTTTGGTCTTTCACTGAAAAATTCATAACTTCGCCATTTATACATGCATTTTTATAAACAGCAGCTTATTTTTTTTCTTTTAGTATAATCTATACGTAAAATATATCAAACTTTTGTAAAAAAAGGACTTTTTCAACTTCATAAAATCGCTAGTATCGAACTACTGAGCCGATACCAAAACTATACAAGAGAAAGTTGTAGAGGGCTCAATTACCTTTGATTTAAGTGCTTGTTTGGTCAAATCGATCAATTAGAACTCGAAGTATACTCTAAAACCTCAAAACACCTCAGAAAATTAAAAAAAAAACAATTTAAAATTCATATCTTACAAATAATATTTAAAATAAAACTAACCGGTTTAAAATTGCAAGAGATATTTATAGAATTTAAAAGTTCGGTACTTCCTGATTGTGTAAAGTTCATTCAGATGCACTTTCTTTGGTATTTAAATCAGCAACAATAAAATAAAGTAAATATTTTTGCGTAGGTGCTGTAAAAGACAATAAAAATAATCGAAGACCTATGAATTATTAATTGATAATTGAGATGAGATGTTTTGAATTTGGGTCAAATTTTAACTTGTATATTTATTACATAATCAACCATTTGTGATTTACTGGTTAATTTATAATAAATCATTGGATTTAAGAATTTGGGTTGCTTCCGTATTTTTAAATTGTATACAAAGATATTGATTTGAAATTTTATTCCATAAGAATATATAAGAATATATAAACATTGAAATTTGGATCTAAATCAAAATGGTTTTATGATTTAAGATACCTATATCTTTTATTATATAAATTTACGAAAATCTACTGCTACTTTCTTAAATTTTGCAACAACCACTTTAAAAAAATAATAAGAGGTTTGAAGTTGTTTGTAAGGTACTTCAATAATTGGGATGATTTTGCATTAAAAATTAATTAATTAATTAGGATTTCGATGAAGCTATTTATTAACTTTAGATAATAATACTTATATATTTAAAAAAAATTCTGTATGTGGTAGTGTCAAAAACCAATATGGCGGCTTTAACAAATTGAAAAGTTGACTACCGGTGCTCCAAATTTAAAATTTATCAAAAATAGTTGTAAAAGTAAAACTTAATAAAAAAATTGTATTGTGGTTGTAATTTTTGTTGTTGTTAGAGGGTCAAAAAGAAAGCTTACGAAGCGATGCATTTAGGCATAATAGTTTTATAATGGACCAGTTTTGACATTTGATATTTAATGGTTTATTTCTGTTATGTACGACTATATAAATCGTGAAGCGATGTAATACTTAATAGCACTGGTTTACAAAATGGAAAAAAATTTCTGCCCACCATATCCTATTATAATTTTCCCATATATTTTGACTAAACCCGGAAATTTCACTCAATTTTTTTTATGGAAGCGTTTTTGAGATATGAATTTTCAATTGTTTTTTTTTTCAATTATTGGAGGTGTTTTGACGTTTTTAGTATAGTTTGAAATCTATTTTATCGATTTGGCCAAACAAGCCCTTAAATTGAAGGTATTAAAGCCCTCTAAAACTTTATTTTACATACTTTTGATATCGAATAAGTATGTTGACGCTAGTGAATGGCGAAGTTATGAATTTTTTGGTGGAAGAACAAAATTCAGCTTTTTGACGAATTTATTTTCTTTTTTTTTGTAATATGTTTATTCTTTAATGAAAACTTAGTGCATGATTGGATTTTTATTAGTTTTTTACGTACTTTTTCCACCGAAAACATTATTCAAAATTTAAATTTGACATGACTCCGCAAACGTAAATTTTTTTGTTTCTCGTGTTGGCATAGTGACATTTTACTGCCATTTTTTGATATTTCAACAAGGTATTTTTATCATGGTTTTATTTAGTTAATAAAAAGTATAAAATGAGTAAAAGAAGCAGAGAGTTCGAGTGCGTAAATAACCCGGAAAATCTGGGCGACGTAAGTGATGAGCACGGAGAACGTTTTCACCGGCAAATGAAGGCTAAGGAGCGGCGGTATCACGGCTTCTGGAATGCAGCCATGATGGGTGATTACATTTAGGCCCTCATACGAGAAACGGAATACGAAAAAACAAAGGAGCAAGAATTTTTTTAAACGTATGCTTATAACAACAAAATAAATCTTTCAATATCTTCAATGTTCAATATAAAATATAGAATTTAATTTCAATATTTAATGTTTAATATAAAAATCAATGTTCTATATTAAATTTTATATAATTCAATAAAATGGAGAAAAAACGTAAACATTTTTGAAAAGCTAAATTTTGATCTTTTACTGAAAAATTCCTTTAAGTATACTTATATAATATATTATCTATATATATCTACGTATACGTAAAACAAATCAAACTGGACTTATCAGAAAGATATGTAAAATAAAACGATATTTTTAAAGTAACTAGAATTACAAAAAAATTAAAACATATATGTATACTATGGCATAAGTTTTACATAAACTCCACAAAAAATACTTAAAAAAATATATATATAGAATATGATCTTTGTACAAAACTTGCAATTAAAAGACAAGTTTTCAAGTGCTGTAAAGTCACAGCAAATACTGCGCAAGTGCATGTGTACTACCTACCATAAAAATCACTTTCGGTACTTTTCTTCTTTCTCTTACGACTCGCTAAAACCTATTTTGTATGTTTATACACTGTTTATAATGTTTACGCATACAGCAAATTTAAAAAACCTAAATATATGATATTTTGAAAAATTTCATATCACGACATCTAGACGTAATAGAAAATCTTCATATTTATGATGTAATTTTTTTAAGAAGGATTTTGTTGCAGAACAGTTATTTTATTAATGATTTAAACTTGGAAAATTCAAAATGTTAATTAAAAAATTAACGTTAAAAATGATATATAAATTTTATGATAATCTCTATACCTATAGACAAAAAATTAATTTAATAGTGTCATTGACACATTTACATTTCTGTAAAATTAATTACCAAATAAACCTAATAAAATTATTTTTTTTACTGAAACAAGGCTGAAAATAAGTATTGGGAATGTAATAAAAAAGGTAGGTCATATATGTGAGAACGTAGTAAAATAATTTTTACTAATTTTTTATGACAAATAATATTTTTTTCCGCCTTTAAAACGACCATTATATTGATTTATCTATAACAACTATATATAGTTTACCCTTGTCTGCCCCCTGAACAAAATCCTGGGTACACCCTTGCTGGAAATGGGGCAAGAATCCCTGCTTTTCTAAAAGGTTAAATTAAAGTCAATGAAAAAAATTCGGCATGCCTTATACACGTTGTTTTTAAAAAAATTTAAATTGAAGAATATACGTACACAAATATTGTATCGCATTTATTTTGGTTAATATTGCCTTTCTATTGGTTAAAATCTGTATCGTAATGAAAAACGTGTATAATAATGAATGTCTTTATAGTATAGGTGGGAAATATCTAATAAACGAATTAAAGTATGGAAGTAGAAAAATACTATATTATGTATCAAGTTTGGTAAAGGACAAAACCTTTATCTAACCTTTTTAAATATTGGCGCCAAGAAACTATTTAAAGGCACTTTATTTTAACTATTGTATGACATTTGACAACTTTCAAATAACTTAAAACTTAAATAGTATATTATGTATCAAGTTTGATAAACGCCATTTTATACACGAATTAATGAGTGTATAGAAAAGTTTATAAACGAGGTGCATACTATACTTTTTCTACGACAAATACTTTTTATTATCTTAAAATGATTTAATCAAAAATTTGTATAGAGCGCCATCTATGAAACAATAGGGGAATCAGTGTGTCACCGTCAAATGTCAAATTTTTCTATTTTATAAACACAATTATAAAGGTTATAAATCGAAATGTATTTCTTGAAAATTGACAGTTTTTCGCAGTGAAAGTAAAGAAAATGTTTTATGAGCACTTTACAGTGGAGTCCGTGCCCGAATTTAAGTTATAGTTTACTGCCGGCGAAATTAAAAGGTCAGTACAATGTTCATATAAACTTTTCAAATATTGGCGTTGAGAAACTATTTAATACTTTTGTATTTTTTTATTGATATAATAAAATAATTTTCACATTTAGTATTATTTTACAAAAAAGGCAATTTATTTTAACGATAACTTCAGCCCGTGACTAAAGCGCCGTAAAGCCACAACTTGTCAAAGTGTATTTAAAAGGTCACTTAGTGTCATGGAAACATGTACAATAAAGGGCGTTTTAAAGGTGGGAGTAGAAAAAATACATTAAAAAATTGTATTTGTTTGGGTTTTTACATTTACATTTTTTATAGCTTTTTTAACTTTTGCACATATGAAAATAATTTATTTTTAATTTTTTCACTTTGATTTTATATAATTACTTCGCACCTAATGCATAATCTTTGGAAAATACGTTTTTTTAATAATTATTTTTTATAATAACTCCAGATCTATCGAAAAATATTCCATACATTACAATAACATAAAATATAAAGTAGCATTAATCTTAACTACATCACAATCATAAGAAAATTATATTGGCAATAAATCTTTAATTTGAAAATTTGAGACGATTAAGTAAACAGTTTAAGTAGAATTGTTGACAGGTGAATGAGAAAGAAGATGATTTGGGTATAGAAGCGCGGGATTCGCTTATATAAAAGCAAATTCACTATAGGCAAAAACAAATCGTTGGTGCTTTTCTAGGCATATAGTTCGGTTCAAGATGAGACCGGTAAGTGAATCAAATCTAGTTTTATTACGTTACGTAGGTACATTTCTCCTATAAATATTTTACCTTTAATTTTAATATGTTTTTACAAACATATTAAGTGATTTTTTTTTATTTTAACCCGTTTCTTGAAATTTGTCTTTTGATATTTTTTTGTAAGGGTAAGGGTTTTTATATATTTTTTTGTTTTTATAACTATAGTTATTATAATAAGCTAAACTAAAATTTTGTTGAATTTGTTTTTTAAGGTAAAATAAGTAAGGAACTTAATTTTATGTATGAATGTTAGATGTAAATCTAATCTTAATATACATAAGTAACTTTAAATTACATTTTTAATTAGAGTTATTTTCTTATTCAAGGTAATAATAATAATAATAATTAATTGATGACTTAGTTATTATAACAATTTGTTTTGTTACAACTGATTTTCATTATATTCAATTTTATTTATTTTTTTATTTAACCAACGTTTTTTGATCATTTTAAAGATTTTGTGATTTTATTATACAGGGTGTTTCACGTTCGTGGTTCATCAAAACTTTCTGGGGAACGGAAAAATATATCGATTTGAAATTTTTAACCCTACTTTTCTAAAATCTTTTGAACAAAATTCCATTGTTAAATATCTCTGAATTTATTAACTTAAGGTATAGGGAATATGTATATAAATCGAAAGTTTATTAAATTTACAATCTGATTAGGTAAAAACATAACGGATGTTACATTTAAAATAAAAAAGTGATTAACGTTTCAAGTTAGCCTATTTTGATATTTTTAATTGGCGTGTATTTGTCAAATTTTAACTAAAAAAAAAATAACTCGAAAAATATTCACTTTAGGTATAGGACATGGTATATTAATTTTACTCAGAATTTTATGTAGAATATAAAAATGTAAAAATATATGAGGTGTTTTGTTTGAAATAACAAAGTTCATGTCACTTCCGGGTTAACCGGAAGTGGCATTTTGTTCAAAATATTTTATAAAAATAGACTTAAATGGATTATGAAGGCTTTTAAAATTTCCAATCGATATCTTTATCTATTCCCCAGAAACTTCTAATGGACCATAAATGTAAAACACCATGTATAACTTTGAAAAAAAAAATTCGTTTCTGCACAAAATTTAAAATTTATATATATATATACATAATATGTATATTATATATAAACTTGATATTTTCACCTTTTGTAATTTTTTTTAACTATATCCACATTAAATAATTATTATTAATTATTATAATAGGTAACAAATAAATACAGACAACTTATAGAAAAACTTCATTAACCTTTTTAATTGGCATTAACACCCAAGCAAAATAATTTAAGTGTCAACTTTAAGGATGCGCTTAAAAACCTTGACATTTTTACAAAAAAATCATAAATCATATATTAGGTAATAAATTTATAATATTTATGCAGGGTTCTGCTAATTTGCTTGTAAAAAATATCAAGACATTCAGCTTGTTGTCATTGACATTTGATACAAAGATGGTAACTGAAATTATTTTTTTAATTTCAAATTTATTTAAATTTTCTATATATATATATTCCCACTAGTTTACTATATATAACACATTTTAAGGTTACCTAGTGGACCAATTAATCAAAAACTTTTCATCTAATCATCCAATTTCCAAATTTGACATTTAGGTAATAAGTTGCTTCACTAAATTTAAAATCATAGAGATTTTTTATTGCCTGTATTAATTATGTACATTAGTATAAAAACAAACAAGTGTAGGTGATGAATAATAAAATAATTGGTAATTGATTGAAGATATCTTGAAAGTAAAAGTAAAAAATTAAATAAGCTAGCTCGTATTTTCAATGATTAAAAAACTAGATATATAAGTACTTAGGAAGTTAGATAAATAAATAACAGTGTCATGACAGCGAATTCAGGGGTACCAATGTATTAAAAATAAAACAATCATTTATTGAATTTTAAAAACATTCTATGAAAACTCTTATTTAGTTTTTCGTTATCGTTTAATTTTTCAGATTATCATATTACTCGGCTTGGTAGGCTCGATACTGGCTGCACCAAACGGGCAAAACGATCACAGACAGGCTTATATTACCAGATACGATAATGATAGTGATGGTACAGGAGCATACTCCTACAAGTAAGTCACTTAATACTAAATACTAAATTTTATATAAAACCTTGGAAGATAAAAGAAAAATTTGGGTAAATACCATTTTTTATACCTCAATTAGGATTGAATTAATTAATTGACAAAATAATGTTTTTTTAAATCAGATTTAATTTAATAAGATAATTATAACCAAAAAAGTGATATTTTTATAGAAAAATTATTGCAGAATCGTAATAAAAGAAAAATCGAACTAAATTGATTTTTTTTCATTACTGCGCCATCTATTACAAATATGAAAACATGTTTTAGACAAAATCTACATATTTTTATTCGAATGATCCGAATTTGCAATAAAAAATAGGGTGTTCCGTTGGAAATTTCAAAGTTACCCCCTGTTACCCCTATAAGGAGAAGAGTATGAGGGCCAATTTTAGTACTGATTGATTTTTCCCCTCGAAAAATTTAATTTTTATCTTACACATTTTTTCGTAAAATGCATACTAACTGAGATATTTCAAGGTTTCAAATTCCTTAAAAGACGCTTGTTTTGTGTATTGAAATTGTGAAAGTAAATAATCTGACTAATTTTAAGACATTAGTGGCATCTTATTATTTAACGATCAAGTTCAATTGAAAGTTTATTAAAAAATTAGGAGAAACTTAAACAAAAAAAACGTTAATATATGTGTGTTAATTATTTACTAATCTACGCTGGACTAGGGCAAATTATACTTAAATAAAACACTTTTTAACATAGTCAATTTAATTAATAATATTATTATTCCTATTTTTCTTATTTTTATTTGTGCGATTAACTTTTGTATACAGGGTGTCCTAGAACTCGCGCAACAGAAAAAATAAAAAATGTATAGATAATAGTGTAATCAATGGCCATGTATTGGGATTGGCGATATCGTTTTTTATTCTTATCTTATCCTTTGCGTTTGATATTAAAATTGTTTTTTTTAGTGTTGAAACCAGCGACGGTTTCCTTAAAAACGAAGCAGCTGAGGTTGTAAATGGTGGAAGTGACAATCAATTTCTTAGAGTGACAGGATCCTATTCCTATGTAGGACCCGATGGTGTCACTTACACCGTATTGTATGTTGCTGACGAATACGGTTTCAGAGCTGCAGGTAATATAAATAATATCATTATCTACACCTAAATAAATTCTCTGCCCAAGAACGGGAATAATGAACTCATTATTCACGTTGTTAGTACTCAGTGATTGGCCGATTTCAATATTCACTATCATAATGATTACAACCAATCGGGTTTGAAATTGGAAGAAGGCCACTCTAACATTTAAAAGTGGTAAAACCATTTGACAGATGTCAGATTTTATTTATATATTTTTAAAAGTCATTTAATTATCTCTCTTAAAATGAATTAGTCAAAAATAACTAATTATAAGTCATATTTGACTAATTGTCATAGCGAAAAATTCTACTGAATGAAATAGTCAAATTAGTAGATTTAAATTTAAAAAAAGTTCTGACCCAACCGGGGTCCATTAATTTGACTATTTTATTCAGTAGAATTTGATTTTTCGCTATGACAATTAATCAAATATGACTTATAATTAGTTATTTTTGGCTAATTAATTTTAAGAGAGATAATATTATAGGTAATTTAATAATACGGTCAAGATAATGAAATAATTTTTTTTCAGGTGAACATATCCCCCCAGCGGCCTCCACAGACAAGAAAGTACCTCCACTAGGTATCCCCAGCGCCGCCATTGCTTCCCTTGCTGGAGGCGGCTTAGGATAAGAAGAACAACCAAACTTAACATTAATATTTTAATTAAAAATTCCAACTTTAATTTTGATGCCATAAATTGATAGAAAAAACAAATTGTTTATATAATTTTGTATTTTTTTTGTTAACAGACTCGATATTTGTGTTTGTATGGTGATTAACTATGTTTGTATATAGTAAAATAAAACAAATATAAGTATAGCAGAGTTTTTTATTTTATTTGTTTTTTAATTTAATTGCTAATATATGACAAAATTGCCCTAAAACTGTAGTATTAATATAAAAAAAAACTTTTCTAAAATATTTTGAACAAAATGCTACTTCCTGTTTAACCGGAAGTTAGTTATAGGCTATTTTTGATTTAATTATTCAAAACTATTGGTTTAGTCATTTTACTCAGAATTTTATATAGAATTTAAAAATGTAAAAATATGGGGTGTTCTATTTAAAATAACAAAGTTTATGTCACTTCCGGTCAAATCGGAAATGGCAATTTGTTCAAACAATTTTAGAAAAATAGACTTAATTTGATTATAAACGCTTTACAAATTTCAAATCGATATCTTTTGCATTTCCCCAGAAACTTTTAATGCATCACGAAAGTATACACAATATAAAATGGTTAAATAAAATTATTCGTATTCACTAATCAATGTCTTGTCTTACTTACATAACAATATTATGCTGTATATTCCTAATTATCCATATTGTTATAAATGATGCAACCATGTACCTACAGATAAAACTTATTATATATATGCTAATTTGCAGATGGAATCAAGAATTGAATTGAAATTCTATTCATAAAATTAGTTGTATAGTTCAGGAGATTTATCTTTTAGGTAAATCTTTTTTAATTTAAATTTTATCGTAAAATATAATTTCATTAAAAAAGGAATTTTTTCCTCAGTTTTTATCTTATGAAGCATTTCTTCTTATCTTCTTAATTTTTAAGTCGGTGTGTTCAGAAAATAACGGGAATTGTTAAATTTCAAGGGATCGGAGGGTCCAGTTGTCATAAAATTTTCTTTTTTATGTTGGTATACATGCCCCCGAAGTATGATAAAAACTTTAGCTGTTTGCATCGTTTACTTTGTCTGTGGCAGCCGCTAAGGTTAGACGTGTTTTATGAGCTCGGCGGTTTTCGTTCGAAAGAAAGAAATGGATCAAAGAATTTGTATCCAATTTTGCTTAAAAAATTAAATAAATTCTGTGAAATGTTAACAAAGTCCTATAGTGAGTCTGCTATAAGTAAAACAAGAGTTTACAAGTGGTATAAGAGTTTCCAAGATGGCCGTGAAGACGTTGAAGATGACGAACGCCCCGAACGCACAAGTACATTAATAACCGATAACATGGAAGAAATGGTTATAAACCATCAGAGAAGTCGCTGATGATGTTGGTATATCGATTGGCTCATCCCATGAAATTTTTTCGAATGTTTTGGGTATGAAACGCGTGGCAGCAAAATTTGTTCCAAAATTGTTAAATTTTGAACAAAATTTTTGGCCAAAAACAATACTGAAATGATGCCCCACCCTCCATATTCGCCAGACATGCCTTCGTCTGACTTTTTCCTATTCCCAAAAATAAAGAGAACCTTAAAGGGCCGTCGTTTTGCAAGCATAGATGACATTAAAAGCGCATCGCTGAAAGAACTAAAGGCTATCCCAAAGATCGAGTTTTAGAAGTGTTTCGAGTATTGGAAGAAGAGCTGGCACATGTGCATAATATCCAATGGGGACTATTTTGAAGGCGACAACATTAATGATTAAGGTAGACGAATAAATAAATATTTGTTTCAAAAAACGAAAATTCCCGATATTTTCTGAACACACCTCGTATGTATTTTATTAAGTACTTACATACTAAAAAATATATTGGGATTAAATCTTGTAACATCCAATTGCGTATTCGCGTAAAATCGAAAGTGGTTCCCGATTCAAGGGTCAAGAGTCATCATTAACACATCGCCTTGCATAAGTTAATTTTACCGTAGAGCCAGCACAAAACGTTCAATTATAAAATAAAGCGAATCATGCGGCATGGCCAATTGCTAATTACGACCATCGACAATCTGAGTACCATTTACATAAAAATTTATATTTGTGTTTGTTTAACAGGTTGTCGTTTTGATTACCGTATTTGTCTGTGAACAATGAATGCTTTGAGGAAAAAAATCACAATTGACAATGTTATATTATTTGTTGTTATGTAAATAAATAAAATAGTAAGTTTAATGCTTGTGAACTTTTCTACAATTAATTGTTAGGTACTTTAGTTTTTTGCATTAAGACAAAATACGTTATAAAACACTATGTTCTTGTGGGAGCCAAAAGTTACATATTATTTGTGAATATGTTTAATTAGGTTTCGTCGTTTTCCATCTATTGTTATCTCTGAAAAATAGAAAATCTAAGTAGGTAATTTATTTATTTATTTTTTAAATTTTAATTAAAGTAGGTGCTTAAAATAACAATATTAAATATTTGCTCGACGAACTCTTTTTTCTGTTGAACACTCCCGTTTGTAGTAAACTTGACTGTACGGTGAAATGAAATACGTGATCGAATTTTTTCCGGAAAACGCTGAGCGTAGATATTAACAGCATCATCAAGATTCCTGCCTGCTTCTCCATAAATCAAAATCATTTCTATTTTTTCTTCCACTGTTCAAAAATCCATTATGAATAACTGCTTAACGAAAGGAGGTCTTTTTGTTTGCAAATTAATCTTCGAACTAAATTGATTAAATAATGCTAAACTATGTATGTATAAATAGTTTCCTAATACCTCGATAATAATTATTATTTATAACTAAATACCAGGTATTAGGTATTTTTATTAAAAAATAGTACAATAATCCTTTAAATTAAAGGATTTAATTCACCGAATGAAATAATGTATAAAACTTAAACCAAAGGAAACTTAAATATTAGTTAAAAAATCGTGGGTACTTAAAAAATCAGATTTAATTTAATAAGATAATTATCACCAAAAAAGTGATATTTTTATAGAAAAATTATTGCAGAATCGTATAAGAAGAAAAATTAAACATGATTGTTTTTCATTACAGTGCCATTACCCTGAATATGAGTATTAATATTAAAAAAACAAAAACTATCAAATATTACCTTTTTTTTAACAAAAGGTACATTAACCAAGAAAATAAATTAAACTAACATAACGTTTATTTTAGCATCATTGAATTCCTCACTTAATATAAAATAATAATAATTTTTGGTTAATTTAATTTTTTTTATAATATTATAAATTACATTGGTAAGGACTTCTTAAACTTTTGATTAAAACTAAATAAATTTTTAAAAAGATCCCTTTAATAGAAATCAAAATATTTTAACTTCCTTTAAACACGATTTCTTCATTTAAAATTAAGAAATACCTTCCTTTAAAGATAGATGGTGCGAATTAAATAAATCGTGCTGCTCAGAATTTTATATGTTTTTTACACAATTTGCAATTTCTAATAATATATTTATGTTTATGAAAAACTGTATGTCTTAGTTTATTATAAACTTAAAATATATTTTGCAAATGTCAAATATGTCAAATCTCAAATTTTATATGATTATATGATCTCTTTATGCATTGAAAATATTTCAGAATAATATATGGGTTGGGTAATATTGGGATCTACAAAAGTTGAGCAACTTTTGACCTCATTTTGTTTATATAGTTTTTGGAGAAAATTAAACAGTATTTTGATATGAGAACATAAATAATATAATAAATATACTGTTCCAGACCGGGCCAGTCACTTTTTCAAACAGTTTCTGAAATATCTGTGTTTTTTAAATTTGAATGCAAGGGAAGTGACGAGTATACCAGGGTACTAATTAAATACATAATTTATTGGAAAATATAAGATTTATTGCAACTTTGAGCATATTATACATTAAATAGCTTAAAACCAAATAATACCACACATCAGTGGCGGCTGGTGGATTTAGGGTATACCGATATCTCAATTATTAGATATGGGACCCACACCAAATTTATATGAGTGTATAATGACATTAAATAAACAAGTTCTGCGCAAGCAGAATTTAAATTGAAAAAGATAACCGAAACATCGAACATGGAACTGACGACACGGTACTGATGAATGGGATACAAATTTGAGATTATAATTCGGAATTAAGTATTTTCCAGATATTTTTTATTAGTGGATGCTACTTATCAACAAATCACATATAGCCTAATATAAATTACAATGAAATATTTATACGTAAGAAAATAACTACTCACCACAGTACTGAAATTTTGACTGGAACTATACGTGCATTCACCACAACTTCGACGCTTGCATTATTGAGTTAAAACGAGGACTTGCCGTTTAAACTTCAATATTTCGTAGAAATTTTGACATTTAACATTGGACACAGAACTGACGGGTAAAAGTAAGTACAAAGTTTATTAATTTTTTAAAAATTGCTTTTATTCGAATCTAAGATAAAATATGAAAAATATATTATTTAATGTTTTATAGTTTGTAGTAAAATTGAAAAATTTAAGATAAATTGAATATATTTTAAAATATAATTACTCAAATATTTGATTCAGGAGTTGTGACACGCCAAGGTACTGATGTTTTGAATATTCATTATGTTTTTCTACAAATGTGCTTTTGGAAAAATACATTAAAATTAGGTTGACCAGTTAAAAAAACCTGGATATTTTGTAACATAATAAAATATTTACAAAAAATATTAAAATACCTTCTCTATTGACTGATGACATCAATTTGTCCAACTTTTGTAGAATCACCCATATCACATCTTGCTTTAGCTGTATCCAAAATGTCATGATGTCTCTATAAACCACTATAAATCAGTTTGGTGAATCACCCTGTATATTGTAAAAACTGTATAAAAATCATTACTAAACAGTTTGGGATGTTCGTTAATTACACAACCATATGACAAACCCAAAAAAGCCTGCAGACAAATTTTACCAATGCAATAGACAAACCAAAGTCGTATAAAAACTTTTGTCTAAAAAACGCAAAATTAGCGATTGCATAAATATCGATGTGTGGCATAATAATTTGAACAAAAGAACGTAGTATGAGTTTGCTCGTTTACCTACCCAACAGGCGCGTATTGAATTATTTTTTGCCCCTTTTTAAAAGTTAATTTTAAGGGTTTAAACGAGTTCGAAATTTGGTTTCTTATTGGACTAATCACCCTGTAAATTGTTAGCTGGGAAAGTTTTCTATTTTGCCGGGATACGTCTAAATAAATTTTTAATAATAAAAACGTTTTATGACGAATTTTTAACATGCGATTTGTCTTTCATGTGATTTAAAAAAATTAATGTTGTATTATAAATATTTTTTCTGTAAAGTTTTATTTTAGTTTTGATCAACAATATTATGTACGAGGTGTGTTCAGAAAATATCGGGAATTTTCGTTTTTTGAAACAAATATTTATTTATTCGTCTACATTAATGTTGTCGCCTTCAAAATAGTCCCCATTGGATATTATGCACATGTGCCAGCTCTTCTTCCAATACTCGAAACACTTCTAAAACTCGATCTTTGGGATAGCCTTTAGTTCTTTCAGCGATGCGCTTTTAATGTCATCTATACTTGCAAAACGACGGCCCTTTAAGGTTCTCTTTATTTTTGGGAATAGGAAAAAGTCAGACAGAGGCATGTCTGGCGAATATGGAGGCTTGGGCATCATTACAGTGTTGTTTTTGGCCAAAAATTTTGTTCAAAATTTAATAATTTTGCTGCCACGCGTTTTATACCCAAAACATTCGAAAAAATTTCATGGGATGAGCCAATCGATATACCAACATCATCAGCGACTTCTCTGATGGTTTATAACCATTTCTTCCACTTTTTCCATGTTTTTATCGGTTGTTAATGTGCTTGTGCGTTCGGGGCGTTTGTCACCTTCAACGTCTTCACGGCCATCTTGGAAACTCTTATACCACTTGTAAACTCTTGTTTTACTTATAGCAGACTCACTATGGGCTTCGTTAACATTTTAAAGAATTTATTTCATTTTTTAAGTAAAATGTATCCAATTCTTTGATCCATTTCTTTTAACGAACGAAAAACGCCGAGCTCATAAAACACGACTAACCTTAGCGGCTGTCACAGTGACAAAGTAAACAATGAAAACAGCTACAGTTTTTATCATACTTCGGGGGCATGTATACCAACATAATAAAGAAAATTTTATAACAATACCCAAAAAGCAAATCTTTATTTAGATCAGAATAAAATCTAAAATTCTAAGAATTTACTCCTGTAAATCACCAGACGCGATGCGATGATATCTTCATTAACTCTCTTCACTTAAACCATGTACGTGAACAATTCTTTATACGGTACACTGTATGAACCAAAAGTGTGTCAATTTCTCTGGCACACATTCGATCAACAACAAAACGAACGAAAGCAAAAGTTAAGAAGTCGCAGCAAAGGTCACATGGGCGTGTATGATGTTGCTTGATTAACCTCTGTTACTACCAAAACGAGGATTGCATTTTTTCTACATCTCACCTCTCAAAGATTATCGTCCATTGTTCGTCTATTTCTATAACACGTTCGTTGCAATCATTATGCAACTGATTCTTTTCGTGAATTTTCTTTTGTTTCTCGTCATCTGATTCTATTATATTTATTGATTAAATATTGGTTTATAATGTCTATGAATTCTATTCTATTGTTAAAATCAGACCATACCCTTTAGACGGTTTGCTTCACTGAGAAATTCTTACACAAAAGTTCCACTGTACTCATTAGTTGTACAAACAAATTTTTTCTACTCCCACCTTTAAAACGCCCTTTATTTAAGTTTTTAGTCACGGGCTGAAGTTAGTTTTAAGTTAGTTGACAGTTGTCAAATGTCATACAGTCGTTAAAATAAAGTGCCTTTCTTGTAAAATAATACTAAATGTGAAAATTATTTTATTATCTCAATACAAAAATACAAAAGTATTAAATAGTTTCTCAACGCCAATATTTGAAAAGTTTATATGAACATTGTACTGACCTTTTAATTTCGCCGGCAGTAAACTATAACTTAAATTCGGAAACAGACTCCAATGTAAAGTGCTCATAAAACATTTTCTTTACTTTCACTGTGAAAAACTGTCAATTTTCAAGAAATGCATTTTGATTTATAACCTTTTTAATCTGTGTTTATAAAATATATAAATTCACATTTGACGGTGATACACAGATTCCCCTATTGTTTTATAAATGGCGCTTTATACAAATTTTTTATTTAAATAATTTTAAGATAATAATAGGTAGGTATTTGTCGTAGAAAAAGTATAGTATGCACCTCGTTTATAAACTCATTAATTTACGTTTATCAAACTTGATACATAATATACTATTAAACCATAAAATTTTAGGGAATACTAAATAATTAGGTATACAATGCTGACCCTTTTAAATATTGGTTCATACATCGGATACGAATTCAGATACAATGTAATGATAACTTTCCATAACTGGTCGTATTGAAACTTACATCTTTTTAAAAAAATTAAGACACAATTCCCTTATCGAGACACGATCTTGTTACTACTGTGTTGCATTCCAATTTTGAAAACAATACCGATATCAAAATTATGATCAAGATGCAAATTTGGTGTGGCAATTTTTCGGGTGTATAAAAGAATTTTCCTTTGGGGTTTATGGTCAGTGTAGAATAAAGACTACAAGTGTGAAATTAAGTGAAGAATGAAGTTTTTAGTTGTAAGTTGTTTTCGTAAAAAAATAACCTTAAACCAAATTTTTTTTATACATTTTTTAGGTTATATTTTTGATTAGTTTTGTGGTGGAACTTTGTTGTACCTATCCCCAAAAAGGCTATCCTAAGTCACCATTTCCTCAACCAGTAAACTATAGTCAATCAAAAATAGTGAGGCATGAGAACAATTTTGGTCTGGCAAATTATAATTTTGCGTAAGTAAAATGTTTTTCTCGATATATACACCAATATTTTTCTGTGGGAGTAAAAATCGTCAAACAAATAAGTCGTCTAAATTCAAACAGCATTTAGCATTATTAAAAGCGTTGATTAAGAATTCTTTAAAGTCTCCACTCAACGGTAAAATACCATTATATTATGTATTATATATAATTTTATGTTGCCATGAATTCGCAGGTATATTTTGTTGTTTAAAATAGAGTTTTTTAAAGAATTCAAATATAAAAATTGTTGATTTTAAGGTTATGTTTGTGCAAAAATTATTTTTTACTAATGTCCAAACTTAAATATAAATTATATTAGGTAAAGTTATCATTAGTTAATTCTGCACCAACAAATGTACTTACCGAATTGTATCCTTTGGCAAAACAAGAAAATGCAGCGAATTAGTTCTTGAATTTTATTTACAATTAAAAACACAATTATTTACCATGATCCCTTTGATAAAATACACACACTAACGTAACTATATAAGCATTTAAGCGTTGTGTTTCTTAATCAATGATATAAAGAATAATCATTAAATATAATAATAATAATTAAAATTTTGAACTTTGACAGATTACGTGGTAACCATAGATACTGTCAACACCCGTCAAAATAATTTTATAAAAAAAAATTTGTAAATTGTTAAATATCTCTTAAATTATTACCTTTAAGTATAGGGAATAGTCGAAAGGTTTTTTAATATACTATTTGATTATGTAAAAACATACATTTTTTTTCAGTATTCTCGTAATTTGTAAAAAAAATTAAATAATAATAATAAACAGTCTTTCAGAAATTTGTCACATATTTTTTTTGTAATTTTCAATTTTTTTTAACTTAAACTTTAAACGTTAATTAACATATTATAATTTATTATTATAGATTATATATAACTTTTTAGTTTTATTGATTTTAGCAGATTTTTTCTTCTAAAAATGATTTTATTTAACTACAGTTTAATTTACGTAAGTGTCTAACCTTTAATAAATAATTACATGTTTAAATTTTATTTTATATTAACTCAAACAAGCACTTAATATTTAAATACCTAAATAAAATACACTACTTCACAAGAATTTAGTACATTCAAGTATACTGGGATCTTTTAGGCTTTGTCAACTAAAAATAATGTGGAATTTTTGGTACTATATTTTGAGTTAACATCACCAGCTTTTGTTTTTTTAATTATTACTTGATACAACGTTGGATTCCATGTTTTTTTTTAACAAAAAATTTGATAATTGAAATCTGCCCTTACCTTATAAACATAAATTTAAAAAATGTTTGAACAAATTCGCAAAGTGGCCTAATTAAAAAAAAATGGTAGGACAAATAACACTGATATATTTTGTTTTATATAATTTTAATAATATATTTGTAACTTAACTTTGTGTTGTAGTTAATGCAAGACCATTTTCTATATTTTCTTAGGAATTTTACGTTCATCATAGTAAATGTAGATAATAAATTAACAATAAATAAAAAATCACAAATGAATATATTATTTGAAGAGTGTATGTGCAAGCCTTGGCATTTACGACGAGTTATTAAATACCCAAAACTCTTACAAACTGTTTACGTAAAAGACAGCAATAATTCTTTACTAGCTATTACAACAACTTATTTCTCAGATTTTAAGAAATAAAGAAAAAACCGTTTTGCTTGTTATTTTAATATTTTGCTTTGCTATTTGTGCAATTTAAATGTTAATTGAAAGGATATAAAATAACAACTCAAAAATTGTCTAAGTGCCTGTTATAGTGTATGCTAAATATTTGTTATGGCAAAATTGTAAAGGGTTTTATTTATGGCCATATTTTTTAAAATTAATAATGGCCATATTTTTGTCTGTATAAAAAACAATTTGATTCGAAAATATTTGTAATAGATGGCGCTGAAATGAAAAAAAAAACAATTTTGTTCGATTTTTCTTCTGTATACGATTCTTCAATAATTTTTGAATAAAATATTTGGATTTATTTTTTAAATTTATTTATTTATTTTTTAAATTTCAATTAGAGTAGGTGCTCAAAATAACAATATTAAATATTTGCTCGACAAACTCTTTTTTTCGGTTTAACACTCCCGTTTGTAGTAAACTGCTTGACTGTACGCTGAAATGAAGTACGTGATCAATTTTTTTCCGGAAAACGCTGAGCGTAGATATTAACAGCATCATCAAGATTCCTGCCTGCTTCTCCATAAATCAAAATCATTTCTATTTTTTCTTCCACTGTTAAAAAATCCATTATGAATAACTGCTTAACGAAAGGAGGTCTTTTTGTTTGCAAATTAATCTTCGAACTAAATTGATTAAATAATGCTAAACTATGTATAAATAGTTTCTTTATACCTCAATAATAATTATTATTTTTAACTGAATACCATTTTGTATACCTCAATTAGAATTAAATTAATTAATTGACAAAATAATGTTTTTTTGCCTTAAATGAGGTATTTTTACTAAAAATAGTACAATAATCCTTTAAATTAAAGTATTTAATGCTGGCAGGTAAAAAGTGACCATGGTGCAATTGATAATTATCACCGAATGAAATAATGTATAAAACTTAAACCAAAGGAAACTTAAAATTTAGTTAAAAAATCGTGGGTACTTAAAAAAATCAAATTTAATTTAATAGGATAATTATTACCAAAAAAGTGATATTTTTATTGAAAAATCATTGCAGAATCGTATAAGAAGAAAAATGGAACAAAATTGATTTTTTTTTCATTAAAGCGCCATCTAACAAATATTAAAAAATGTTTTAGACAAAATCTACCTATTTTTAGTCGAATGAAATGAAATGAAATGTTCCTCCTATAAGGAGGAGAGTATGAGGACTAATTTTAGTACTGATTGATTCCCCCCCTCGAATCATTTTATTTTTATTCTAAACATTTTTTCGTAAAATTAATTAATTAAAAATTGTAGGCCACAACTAGATAGAGAAACAAATTAGCATTGTAAATGGTAAAAGAGTTATGTAGTTTAATAAAAATCACATTTTTCAATAAATCAAAAACAAACCAAGATATCCAAGATTTTTAATCGTCATAAAATAGCATAAACAATAAACAAGTTTATTCACATTGGATTACATAACTTTGCTCGAGTTAATGAATAAAGAGAGTCAATAAACTTTGTGAAATGTAACTTATGCTTGTAAAACAAGGTGTAAACTTAACCTTAAAGTGTTTTATATGATTCAGTTCAGTTCAATTCAGTTCATATTTATTTACAACTCGTTTAAATCAATGTCATGGTTTGTTTACGTTTTAGTAGCTTAAGTTTAATGAAAAGTGCATTAAGTTAAGCTAACTTTGAACTAGTATTCAAAGTAGCTTAAATGGACATTCTAAAGATCTAAATTTTTTTAGTTATGAAACCAGTGATGGCTCACAAAGGGAAGAAAAAGCCGAATTAAAAAATGCCGGCAGCAAAAATGAAGCTATTTCTGTGCAAGGATCATACACATATGTCGGTACGGATGGTATAACCTATAAAGTGACTTACATCGCCGATGAAAATGGTTACAGAGCTACCGGAGAACACTTACCAAAAAACCCATAACATATTTAATGTATGAATATAATCCTGTATAAATAAAGAGTATATTATGTGTTAAGTCTTATGGTCTTATATTTTGAAGAATATTTTATTAGTTAACAACATAATACATAACATAGGAAAGTACTTACAACTAAAATAGCTTTGGAAAAGTTAATGTAGGGGATGTCAAAATTTTTTTTGATAACCCGTATGCACAGGTAACAATTACTTCTCTTGACGTTGATAGTAATGAGCGTATGCTTCTTCCTGAGATTGCAAGTGGGGATTTTGATGTTCTTGTTGGTATTCCTGCTTGTTGTCCTGTTGGTATTGGGACTCCTCTTCTATCTGATGCGTTTGTTGCAAAGCTTTCAAAATCGCTTCTGGGATTGGAGGTGGGGTGGGCAAATGATCTCCTTGAATTAGAATATTTCATATTTCAACATAAAACATAAATAAAATTAATCTTAACCCTGATAGCACACTTTATTCTAAGAATGTTTTTTAAACCTTCCAGTGAGAATATTCTTACGATCATGCTATATTTCTTCTAAAGAACATGCTTAAAAGACATATAGCATGATCCTAAGAATATTCTTACTGGCCTTTAGGCAGGTTTTAAGAAGGTGCAAAGTTTTAGTGGTAAAAATTAGTCTACTCTAAACATATGCTTAGAACGTTAAGAAAGTTATAGCTATAGAAAGTTCATTTAGGAATGTTCCTGTTAAGCATATTTAGTTCAGTTACCTATATAATAGTAAAATATACCATAAACTACGTATAAAGGTATATACCTATACTTAAGTACCTAATAAGTAATTAGTATTAAATACTAAGTAAAAAACACAATCTAAAATATTTTTTTATAGTTATTTGTCAAATTAAAACAATATTCGATAACAAAAATACTTTTACTATAGGTATTTTATTTTATGTTAAAAATAAATATTTATTAATTTTTATACCGATTTTTTATTTCTGAATTAACATTTTTATGTATAATAATCCTAACTATCTTCAACTTCAATCTAATCTGACTTATCCCACAAAATTTTCCAATTTTACTTTTTATGAAATAATGTCATACAACTTATGGTTTAGGGGTCAAATTGTTTATTTAATATTTTTAAATAAATATATATTAATATGTCGCAAATTTTTTTAAGGGGCGACAAATACATTTCACTGCCATATTATGACACTGAGGCGTATTTGTCTCCTGAAGAATTTTACGAATGTAGAATACAACATATTAAAACGTGGGTATCTGACATTTAGAAATATTTTCAAAAGCTTCTTAGAAGCTCCATAAGAAACCTTCTATAGAATGTTCTTATAAGAACATTCCAAAAACGGTTCTAAGAATATTCCATTATTCCATAGAAGATTATTAAAATCAAATTTTGCTATCAGGGAAGTTAATTTTAAGAAGAAAATATACATTACACAATACAAATTCCACAGTTCAAGGTCTAAAATTTTACGTGAAACCATATAAACAAAACGCACACTTATTTTGGTAAAACTATAGTATTCAAATTAGTCAAACGAAAGTATAAATGGTAATTTATGTCATCAATAAACATCCTAATTTATTCAAGGTTAAAACGATGTACGGTGGTGTCCAAAAGTATGAAATTATAAATATTCTGAAGGCATGGATATGGAGCTCGAAATTGTAGTAGTGCACACATAAATATCATTAATTGGCCTTCGCTGTTTAACAATAAATTGATTTTAAAAAAATTACCGTGAGCTTGGAATCCGTGTTCATCCGCCACGTACGTTAAAGTGATAGGATGACCATGCTCGTCATGGTAAGTAACTTTTCCTTGTTGAACTAGGGTCTCATGCTTTTTGTCGCCTTTGTTTTTAAAGTAGCCGTGCTCGTGTGCTATGATGCCGTTTCCTGTCTCATAGCTGAAAAATATGATATCTTAGGGCGTATATTTAAAATCAAGGATATAGGTCACCACCTTTTTCGGGACTCCAGAAAATATCAATTATTGGAGACATGACTTACCTGTAGTGCCAGCTATCATGGTGCTTATCAAAGTTACTCTTTAATATCGGTACCACAGGTTTTTTATGGTGGGCCTCTTCTTCCTGGTACCCATGGTACCTGTGTCCACCCAAAGCACACCCAAGCACACAAGTCACCAACACAAAACCAATCTACAAAACAAAAACAATTTATTAATAATTTTCACTATTTTTACTGATTTTATTTTTCTTATCCATAAAAGTCAACTGTGTCACTAGATTACCTGCGAAGAGGTCGTCATTTCTATTTCGTTTTTACACTGATAAGATGTTGTAGACAATTAAAATGAACTTGTGATTTCTATGCGGGGCATATTTTCTTTTTATACCGTATGTCCTCTACCACGAAGAAATTTCACAGTTGAAAAATTGACAATATTGACCATATGGCGTACTGCAAGAAGCACGTGTTAATTAGGATTTCTTTTCATTCGACATCCTCTTTGGTTTCAAGTACACTGTGCAAAATAATTTTGAAAATGTTTATAGAAAAATCCAAAATGTATTTTGTATCTTATAGGGTAAAGTAGACAGTTATCGGGCACTTTATAGTTAGTTATTGGCAATTAACACTAATACTGTTAAAATAAGAGTTATATAAATAGTTACCTTAAAGTCAAATCATTAGATGACGCTGTATACAATTATAAATATCACAGTCGGTAATAATATAGAAATACTTTATTTTGGTTCCAATATAGGACAAAAAAGTTCGCACGTTACTTTGGTGGTAAGATTTTTGTTTGTTTGTTAAGAGCAGGGCTGTGTTTAAATTACAATAAAAATATTTCTAAAAAGTGTACAGATCTGTGTGTGGTATAAATGTGTTCCTCATGGTTTAAACATTGTCACTTTAATGCGTTTTAATTTTAATTCTAAAAACAAACAGTAAAATGGCCAGTGTCCAATTACTGGTTGGTAAAAACTGTAAATTTCTATTATTGGACATATGTCCAATATCATACTCTATTTGTATCCTGGACATTTACCAGACAATTCTAATGTAAAATTGTCCCCTGAATCCGAAAAGACCGTCATAAACTATAAAAGTATAGCAGTTTTTGAGATATAGTCAATTCAATATTAAATGAAAAATTGACTATATCTCAAAAACTGTTCTACTTTTATAACTTTTGACGACATTTTCGGATTCAGCGAATAATATTTCATAGGAATTGACTGCTAAATGTCCTGGATACAAATTGCTGTTGACGATAATTATTAGTGGCTGCTTTTTCGCTATAACATTTTTGCCAATTCATTTTTAGAGAGTAAGTAATATAGTGATTTCTTCGTCAAAGGACATCTTGCAGAATAACAGTGATTTAAATACAGTGAGAACATAAAAAAGTAATGGCAACAAAATTAATAAATTCGGACAATACTTTTAACATACCACCCGAAAAAATATTAGATATACATAAATCATCCTGTTCCGGCCTAAACCTTATAAATGCTTTACAAACTAGAGATACCCCACTTAATGATATTTGCAACAAACTATTTCAGAAGTCAGACCAAGGAATTAGTAGTTACCTTCAGAATCCAGAAAAGGGATGAGGAATCCGAGAAAGAAATATATGAATTATATGATATTTACAAAAACGAAATAAAGAAATTACCTAAAACAGCAATTTATCTTTAAAAAATATTTAACAATTTATGTTATTTGATGTAAAGTTGTTATGTTTATATAAAAATTGTATGTTCAATAACTATGGCCCATGTGTCCAATTACTATACTTTTTTGCATGTTTTTATAAAACTATTATTAAAAATTCAAATATTCTTATTTTAATATAAACAAACTATCCTTTTTATATATTTATAAGAAAAAAACTAAAATCTTTAAAACAACGGCATACCTAAATAAATTTTAAATAAATAATATTCCTTAAGTGTCCAATAACTATATATACAAAAGTGCTCTTTTAGTTCCACCCTTACTTCTTAAGAAGTCCCATAAGCCAACTGAATGGCTTGTGCGGGTTAGGGGTAGGAACGGACCGCGGGCTTAAAGTCCCCTCCGAAGGACTAATACACAATAGGACAAACACAAATAAACAGCCATACCCCTGGTGGGATTCGAACCCACGACCTCCGGCTTGTAGTCAGCATGCACTAACCACTCGACCACCGTCGGCGATATGGTTTACATTATTTTAATATCTCAATACAAAAATACACAAGTATTAAATAGTTTCTCATCGCCAATATTTGAAAAGTTTATATGAACGTTTTGATTTAGCCGTAGTAGTGCAGTTAACTAGATTTAACTGATAAAGTGTTAAAAAGTTTGCATACACATGTGAAAAACTTCTTTTATATCGATTGTTGGTCTATTTTCATGGGATAAATTTTGATTTACACAAACTTCATACATAATATACTATAATATTATTCCATGATTAATTATATTTTTATATGGTTTTTCTAAAAAAAATCACATAAATGCAACACATGTGTTGTCCCTGGCCTTAATCACCACACCTTTATGTGAGCCCTTAGACTTCACACATCTCGTTTTTAGCCCGAGGGATAAGACGACATTTGAAGATAAAGTTTGAAAAAAATTATCAGTACCAATTAAAACATTCTTTTGAATGAGTTTAAAATATAGTAGGAGTTAAAGGGGAGAAAATCAATGAAAAGTTCTATCAATATACCTAAGTAAGTATATTTTTTAGATGAGTTTCTAATGATGGATATCCAATAATTATAAGTGGAAATATGGTATCAATAGGATATAGATAATGGAACAATTTTTTTGGTAAAGTAAATAAAATTAAATGAAGCTTTCTCTGAAAGTCGAAATAATCTTCTATGGGTAATAAGGAAACAATGATCTTTTTAATTAGAGAAAAGAAAATTTTTTAGATGAAAATGTCAAATCTTTTATCAATAATTCTTAATTTACTACGTACTTTGAGATACTGTTGAAATGCTTTTTAGTAGGTATTTATTATAATTATTTAACATTAAAATTATTTTTACATAATTAGTAATTACTTTTAATTGAGGTGAGTGGCGATTGAATTATTGCAAAATATTTATTAGCATAATGTTTTATTTGAATAGGATAATTTAAGGTGTAAAAAAGGTCCTGATAAAAAACTAACTCGATATTCTTTTGTAACCTAGGTATGTTAGAACCAAATTTACTATATAGTATTATTACTAAACTCATTATACAAAGACATATTTGGGACTCACCTTAGTAACGATCCATTCATATCATTACATAAATGCGTCGACCTGGCTATGATTCGTCTCTAAAAAAAACCTATTGTACTTAAGTACTTACAATCCTTACAGCTTTTAGCTTACATAATATGTGACAACGGCACGGAAAATATGCAATGAAAAAAGCCTTTATTTAATATGTATAAATTTTGTCAAAAGAAATCTATTTCATGTTTTAATTTTTTTTTTCACACTGAATATAAAACAGGTTTACAAATTTTTAGACGCTTTAAATTTTTGAGGAATTTTAAACCAAAAGTAAAAATGCAGGTTTTTTTCAAGTTATATTACTACATAACAAGGTTTTTTTTAATTTGTTTTTCCCATCTGAAAGTCATTTTTATGTTTTCTTGAAGAATGAAAAATGAAAATAAGAAATAAGAAAAATAAGAAAATAAGGAAAATAAGAAAAATAAGAGAAATAAGAAAAATAATAAAAATAAGAAAAATAAAAGAATTAAGAAAAGTAAAAAAATAAGAAAAATAAGAAAATTTTTTGAGGAATTCTAAACCAAAAGTAAAAATGCAGGTTTTTTTCAAGTTACATTGCATAACAAGGTTTTTTTTTAATTTTTTTCCCGTCTGAAAGTCATTTTTATGTTTTCTTAAAGAATAAAAAATGAATATAAGAAATAAGATAAATAAGAAAAATAAGAAAATAAGGAAAATAAAAAAAATAAGAAAAATAAGAAAAGTAAGAAAAATAAAGAAAATAAGAAAAATAAGAAAAATAAGAGAAATAAGAAAAATAAGAAAAATAAGAATAATAAGAAAAATAAGAAAAATAAGAAAAGTAAGAAAAATAAGAAAAATAAGGAAAATAAGAAAAATAAGAAAATAAGGAAAATAAGAGAAATAAGAAAAATAAGAAAAATAAGAAAAGTAAGAAAAGTAAGAAAAATAAGAAAAATAAGAAAAATAAGAAAAATAAGAAAAATAAGAATAATAAGAAAAATAAGAAAAGTAAGAAAAATAAGAAATAAAAAATAAAGCATGAAGAAAAGGGAATAATAAAATTAAGAATGAAGAATTTGGAATTAAAAAATTAAGAGTGAAGAATAAAAAAGAACGAAGAACGAAGTACTAAGAACAAAGGACTAAAAATTTATTTTATTTTATAAAAAGCCTTTATTTAAAGTGTACAAATTTGGTCTATAGAAATTTCTTCCATGTTTTGAAAAGTTTTTTTACACTGAACTTAAAAGAGGTTTACAAATTTTTAAGCCAAAAGTAAAAAATAGTTTTTTTTTAATATTAGAGGTTATATTACATAACAAGGTATTTTTTCTTAAAAAAATTTGTTACTCCAAGTATTATTTTTTGCCATTTTGAGTCTTTTTTTAACATCCTATCATGAAGAATGCAGAATGAAGAAAGAAGAAAGAAAAAAGAAGAATGAAGAAAGACGAAAGAAGAATGATAATGAAGAACGAATAATGAAAAACGAAGAAAGAAAAATATAGATTATAGATTTATAGATATAATGAATTAACAACTAAGAATAAAAAGAAAACATGAAAAATAAAGAATAAAGAATGTGGAATTCAATAAATAAATGAAAAACAAAAAATAAAGACCCAAAAACGAAGAACGAATAAGAAAGAATAAAGAATGAAAACCGAAATACGATATATGTAAGAATAAAAAATCAAAATTAAAAATATAAAATTAACAACCTATATGAATCCATATTGTAATCCTTTATCAATTTTATTATAAAAAAATCACTAATGATCTTAAACAATTGTAATTTTTATGTAAGAAAATGTCGAAACGACTTACTCACTCACATTTACTGTTCGCTAAAGTTGCCAAATTGAAGGCACATTATTTTAGATAATTAACGTTTTGCTAAATCGACATTTGCGTTTGACATTTTTATTATTACAGCCTACACGGTCATTAATTTGTTAATAAAAATCACAGTTTGATTAAATCCAGTGAGTTCTTTTATCTGCCAACAATTAGTATCTAGGCACCGTGTCAAGAACGCGCTAGATGTTGACATCGTTAAAATATCTCGGATGACGATTATTCGTTGGCGCAACTTTTACTGTTTGTTTACGTGTATGTCAATTATAAACATAATTTTGCATATTGATCCTAAATAATATTTGTCACTAATTGCTTGATTTTAATAGGCGTGTCTTTTTAAGTAAATGTTTAAAACTTTTACAATACCCATTTATATTCCTGAATTATAGAATATACACTCACAGGCAAAATAATCGATCCACACAAATTTTCGATGAATTTCAATCGCAAATAACTTTTTTATTTGATTTCGGATTTAAACAAATATTAAAGAATATTGCAGATACATTAATGGAGAATCGCTCACATTTTAAAATTTACTAAAAAATGCACGTACGTTTATAATATACAGGTTTAAACAAAAATATGTTTTTTACCATAAGTTTAAGACACTCTGTAGAGTGGCATAACCGTATATTGTTCTAAATTAAGTTTTATTTATCAAGTCACATCTATTCTTAACAGTTTTGTTTTTGGTTTACCTCGATATATTTATTTTTGTGGAAAATATGGATTTTTTAAAAAAACATTGCAATTTCCAATATTTTTCTGTATGAAGAACTAAGTTGCTATGGTCCATCCATAGGCTATGGTGGATGACAGTGACAGTTTTCTTGAATCATCCCATACTTGGACATGTCATTTACAGCTTTCAAAAGCTATCAAATTGTTTTTTGTAAATTAATGTGTTAATTTTGAGGTCTTGTCTTCTTACTTTTAAAAATGTCTCCGACTGATGTTGGCCTTTGTACTTTACTTCTTGTGACGTTTAAAACACTTGCCACGTAATACTGTGACCGTCCATCCTGGATTAAATTAATGGCTCTGGCAACATCAGTCGGAGACATATCCATTTTTTAAAGTGAGAAGACACTTCCAAATTTAAACATTAATTTGCAAAAAACAATTTGATAGCTTTTGAAAGCCGTGTATGAGATGATTCAACAAAACTGTCACTGTCATTCTCCATAGCATATGGATGGGCCATAGCCACCTTAGTTCTTCATTCAGAAAAATATTGGAAATTGCAATGTTTTTTTAAAAAAACCATATTTTCCACAAAAATAAATATATCAAGGTAAACCAAAAACAAAACTGTTAAGAATAGATGTGACTTGATAAATAAAACTTAATTTAGAACAATATACGGTTTTGCCACTCTACAGAGTGTCTTAAACTTATGGTAAAAAACATCTTTTTGTTTAAACCTGTATATTATAAACGTACGTCTATTTTGTAGTAATTTTTTAAAATGTAAGCGATTGTCCATTAATTTATCAACAATATTCTTTAATATTCGTTTAAATCCGAGATCAAATAAAAAAGTTATTTACGATTGAAATTCATCGAAAATTTGCGTGGATCGATTATTTTGCCTGTGAGTGTATTTCTTGTGTTCCAGAAAGTCCACTCAAATTTTTTAGTTTTTTTATTTTAATTTGTTATTTTAACAATATTTTTTAATTAATTTTTACATTATTAATTGTTTATTTTTATTTATTTTAATAAAATATTTATTTATTGTATTTTTTATCATGTCCTTTGACTAGCTAATTTTATTATTTACTTAGACATATGTAAATACTATCTGTATAATAACATGAATAAATTATTATTATTATTATTATTTTCGCACCAATCCTTTTTTATTTTAGTTTTGTCGTAAAATTGTGTTTTTTTTAATCTAAATACATTTTTGTTAGAAAACCCAACATATTACAGCAATTTAATGCATATCGCCGTATCGTATAGAACTTAAAGGCAAAGGTGGCCAGCACCGAATTGTCATCTGCGCCTTGATTCTTCTCGACTACGACCGGCATAAAAGACATTCATACACACATTTCGCCACAACAAACCATAAAGTTCACGTTTTAGAACCGTCGGCGGCATATAATGTAATGTAATCATTATTAAATCTTTTTAATAATGGCAAAGCTTTCGGGGGTAGGGATGCCTCGTGCTATAAGATGACGGCGCCTGTCGATAGGGGTTAGTTCTGCAGCTACAGCGGGCCACAGTGGAAAATCAAAGAGAACACAATGAAGGTAAATTTTAGTGATGTGATTTTCAGTGGAATTTTAGTGATGTGTTGCCTACTTACTATATGGATTACTAATTATTTTTTGACATAATTAACATTTGCATTATTATTTGATGTGATGTCGTAAATTGAGAAATTCGTTCATAAAATAATTGTTCGATAGTTAAAACGATATTTTTTTTTAATTTTTAGTTGATTTTCTTTGCTGCCTTCGTGGCCTTGAGTTACGCAAGACCACAAACACAGACATCTGAGCCAATTCCGATAGTGAAATACGAAAATGAGGGGGTTAACGCTGATGGATCCTATCAGTGGAGGTAAAGTTTTATTTGATAATTTAGGCTACTTTTTGTTGGCTAAAACAATACAAATTTAAAATATAAAAAATATAAATTTTTTGAACGTTGAAAAATTAAGTGAATTTACACAATTTTTTTTATTGTTTTTTCTAAAAAGGCAAAAAAAATCATTTAAAAAAACCTTTATGAAGTGCAATTTATAACTTTTGGTGATAAAACATTTTTTTATTTGATTTCATATTTTGTTTTTTATTTATTGCCAGAGATTCCCTTCACTTTGAAATTTAATTAAGAGTTTGAAAGCGATATTATTAAAAAACACATTAATATTTGGTATAAACTATAAAAATGTGGATTTCTTTTATGACCAATGAACCACCCGCTTTTATTTAAAAAAAAATAGTTTTGGGATAAGTATGGTTTTCAAATTTTGAAAGATCCTAAAAATCAGCATTGCAAAAGAAGAATAAAATTGTATTTTTTTCAGACTACCTGGCCCAACATGAAGCAGAAAAGCTAATTCAAGGCACAGATATAGAAATACAATTTAATCAAAAAATGATTTGACCAGTCAAAAATTGACATCGAAATATGTAAAATTGCATAGTGTTTCATATAAAAAATACCATTTCCGGGAGTGACAAAAATATGTTAAATTTGTCAAAAAGTTCCTCTAATTTACTAGAAAATGGCATTTTCATTAAAAAAAAATAATTCCGAAACGACGAATTTAGCCAATTTGGGACTTTTGGTGAAAGTTGTTTATATTATGAACTTCAAAAGAAAAAAATATTTAAAAAAATCTGGCAATCTCAAAATTTTTACCTCAATTTTTTTTTTTTTTAGAAAAAGCAATTTAAAAAAAAACTAGTAAACACTTAATTTTTTATTTACCTACAATTTCCTACGGGTGAAGAATTTCGTTAAAGAGTAATGATCAACCCTTCTTTGCCTGGTGGAGCGAAAAAAAAATATTTTTTTTTCCTTAGCCTGGGGGTGGAATTTGTATCCTATAAAAAAAGAAAATTTTTGAAATTTCAAAAGTGTTCCGGAAACTGCGGAGTGTCCTCTTTCTTGCTAATTAACAGTTATGAAAAAAATTTTGTGGTCATTATTGTTGTTTTTAAAAAAATTCCAAAATAGTAACATGCTTTTCTGAGGCAATAGAGCGAATTTCGAGTTGAACACGATCAAATTTGTTTATTTTTAGATAAATTTGAAAATTACAAGCCAAAAATTTTTTTTTTATTCAAAAGAATTTTAACTTAAATTTAATTTAAAAAATCAGTGGGCCACCTCAAGACGTCTTGAGTCTTACGTTGAGTAAAAATATTTTTTTTTTTTTCAAAAATTTTCTTTTTTTATAGGCTACAAATTCCACCCCCAGGCTAAGGAAAAAAAAATTTGCTCCACCCTAATATACATACATATATATACTCTTTGCATTGTTTCTTTCAGCTACGAGACTGGAAACGGCATCAAGGCCGACGAGCAAGGACAGCTGAAAAACGCGGGCGCCGAAAACGAGGCCCAAGAGGCGCAGGGCTCTTTCTCCTACACTGCCGACGACGGAACGGTCATCTCCCTGCAATACATAGCCAACGAGGAGGGATTCCAACCCGTGGGAGATCATCTCCCCACCCCTCCTCCAATCCCCCCGGCGATCCAGAAGGCTCTGGAGTGGCTCGCCGCCCACCCAGAACCCGAGGAGAAAGGGGCAGCCTCCAATGTGCAGCCTGTTTATAAGGCTTTGCCTCAAAAGAGATACTAAATATGAGCTGGTTGTATAAAGCTTGTACTCACTCTGCTAATGTAAGTGTTCTATTAATAATTTTTATGAAATTTATGTGAATTTTGTAAAAGTTTAATAATTGATTGTATATAGTTTATTTTTTATTTTTGTATGAATATTTGTATATAACAAAATAAAAAATATTAAAAATAAGTGTGCTTGTAAATTTCTTTTTCTTTCTTCTTCTACCAATCATTTTTTAACCTGAGCCCTGAGCACTTCTGTGGGTAAAAGGCATAAGGCATAAGTCAAAAAAGCAATTTTTCAGTAGAGCCTTAAACGTATTTGCATCCTTATGCCTTTTACCCACAGACTTTTAATACAAAAATAAGAACAAACACTAAAAAAGTATAAAAAACTCAAATTTTTTTAAAAATTTTGTTTTAAAACGAGATTTTTTTCTTACTTTTTTATTATTCTGGAGGTACTCCCAAAAATTCAGATTTGTAAATTATTGTTTAACCTGAGTCCCGAAAATTAGAACAAATCCTAAAAAAGTGGGAAAAACTCATAATTTAAAAAAAATTCAAACGAGGTTTTTTCTTACTTTTTTACTATCTTAAAGGTCTCCCCAAAAATTCAGATTTTTAAAATAGTAATTAACCTGGTCCACGACCATATTAAAAAAAATTAGAACAAACCCTAAAAAAGTGGGAAAAACTCATAATTTAAAAAAAAATCAAACGAGTCTTACTTTTATCTATTTTGCGTTCATAATGACTTCATTATAACACCGCTTTCGGTGCTGTAATGAGATACTTATCCCACCCAAAATTTTGCTTTTATAGGTTGGCTATACTTTAAACAGCATAATATTTTGCCTATTGGTTATAATATTTTTATGATTTTTCTAGTACTTACGAGACTTTTCTGGCAATAAATTTTGTTTAACACCAAAGAAAATCCTTTTTTTCTTCTTTAACATTAACAGCCGCTTATTGTAAATAAGTAAATTAAGGACGGCATGGCGAATCGATTTTGACATTAACTGTCAAACCAATGACTGTGATACCAACTCTGTAAAGTAAAATTCGACCAAATTAAATTTAAAATATAAAATTAATTTTTTTATAGAATTTTTGCAAAATAGATAAAATAGCATAAAGAACTCATGTCATAAGACCTTTTGTCGCACTTGTCCATAAATTGTCCGCGTGCGACAAAATGACATTACAAACATGAAAAAAAACTTTAAACCCTTTAACATTAAGCTTCTGTGTTAAAGTTTTAGATAATTATTTTTGTAAATAAATGTCGACATTTTAAATAAACCTTTGACATTAAAGTTTTATTTATTATATGAATAATTTTTTATTAAATAATTTATTGGAATGTGTATTAATTGTACATTACAGGCAATTTTTCGCACCACCCTACTGTACAGGGTAAGTTAAAATGAGGGCGCCCGTTTGTGCAGTACATAAAATAAAAAAATAAAAAACTTTATAGTTTTTTATTTATTTCGGGCATAAAATTTAATAAAATTGTGTAAAACATAATTGAAATATTATGTAACCGCAAAACCGTAAAGTTGTAATCATTTGAATTATTGAATAAAAATTACAAATTAATGACATTAAAATTATTGTGAGACCTTTAATTTAATAATTTATCTAATAATAACAACAGAGAATCCTTCATAAAAACGTTTTATACCATAGGCGACTATATCATTTTTTTAATTAGAAATTTATTTGTTTTATGGTTGTCATATTTATTTAAAGAATTAGTTATTTAAATGTAAGTGATTAATTATTGTAAGGTGTTATTTCAAAATCGTTAAAAACTTAAATAAAAACCTTAATATGGAGATTAAGGATGTTGAACAAGGTTACAGAAGAAACAATTATGCAATTAAATTGTCTTCTGCTTGAATGCAATCAATGTTTAGGTATTAATTTTTAACATTTGAGTATTTTAATTACACATTTCGCTGCGCAATTATTATTCTGTTTAATTTTTGGCTGTCAAAAAAATTGTTTTGGTAAAAAATGATTGATGAAAAATTATTTATTTTATTTACTCTTGTATAGGGTTTCTTTGTTGTTATTTAAAGCAAAAACAGATTCACGGAGGATAGAATCAATTTTTGTAACACCTACCTAAATGGTTATAAAAATTATTTCTTTTAATTTTTAATAATATTTTATATTTTATTCGATTGCTTTGGATGTGTTTAATTTACTTAGTGAACTGATATTTTTAGTATGCTTTTACTACCTCAGATATTTGAAAACATATAGTTTAACCTAGAAAGAGTAACAGTCACGGAGGATAGGTTTTAGACTTTTAAAACATTGTAAAAAATAATTAAATGCGGTTAAAAATCTGGAACCTGAGCTGTATTATCTTCTTAAAAATGGACTAACAAACGTTTAAATCCAATGTAGAAGCAGTTTTTCACAGTAAAAGTAAAGAAAATGTTTAATTGGCAATCCAAGGTGGAGCCTTCACCCAAAATTAAGTTAAATCTAGTTTACTGCCTGCGAAAAAATATTCTGTATAAAAAAATTATTGTAAAATTAAATTCTATCCAATGAACATTTAAAAATAAATATTTGCAAAAATCTAACTCTTCGCCAATATTACTAACAATTCAAATAATGTATATAATCAATTCTCAGTATAAAAATCAAACAAACATAGTTGCAGCATTTAATAATAATAATTTCATCAAATAATCCCGATTATTAGAAACAAGTTACATAACTCATTTACCACGATTAATGAATCTGACAACGCCGATTAGCAACCCAGCATCCACAACAATAAATGAAATTTTTTACGACGCAAGTGAGTACAACGTTATGTGACCTTTTTATCGACACTCTTAACACTCGGTTAAAATGTTAATTACTCAACGAAAGTGTCCCTGAACCACCAAAACAAAATTCGGCGTAATCGCCTATGAGACGCTTTTTCGTACAACAATTAACATTTTGGGGGGGATATAAAAATTAATATAAATAATTGTCTGATTTATGAAAAAGGTATAGTACCAACTCGTCTAATAACCATGAAACTGGTATGTGTGCTGGGTGTTTTTTTTAAAGTGATGTGTAAAATGAAAAATCATTAATTTTTCGTTTTTTTTTTGTTTAGATCGTATGTGTTTTGGCTTTCGTTGCCCTGGGTTACGCCCAACAACAACCTCATCCCACGGGAGAACCCATCCCAATTCTGAAATACGAAAATGAAGGAGTAAATGCCGATGGATCATATCAATGGAGGTTAGTACAGATTTTAAGTTTAATTTATTTTAACAACAATTGGGAGTTATAAAAAAGGTTAAAGCTTTGTTATGGGATGTCATTCACCCTTATAAAACCATATTTACTAATAGACTTTAATCTGCTTTATTATACTACTGTGTGCTAGCTTTTCGAATGCAGTTTGAGCAAGATGTCATCATTATTCGACAAAGTTGATAAAAGTGAACAGCAATCTTTTCACATTGTGAACAAACTATATATGTATATATACAGGGTGTTATGTAATTAATGTTATATATTAAAATACTGAATACCTTCTGACATAAGGAATAAAGGAAAAATATTTTAAAAAGCATTTTTCCAAAGATAAAGAAAAAATATGCATTAGAAGTTTTTTATATTTTTTGTGATACGCCACTGGTTACACACTTGTTTATCTCTGCACACCTGTATTTTGTGAGTACATAGATACCAACCAACAAAGTAGCTATGCGTTGCCAGATGTAAAAAATTGTTACTAAAAATTTTTCTTGCAAAAAATAAATAAAAACTCAATAAATACAAAAGTTTTATGCCCTTAAAGCTCTAATACCCTTCTGTATTTATTTACTGATCCAGCTATTAGCTTAAGCAATGATTAGAAATTTTAGTACCATTGAAATTTGAAATCCATAACCACAAAATTAATTTTTTCATCAGTTTTTTTCTCTGTTTACTCAGATGAAATTGGGACCAGTTCACAGGTTAAACTTTAAACATTTAATTTGTGTAAATAAATCCAAAAGCACTTCCCTTAGTTAAGATATTTACAATTTGAAAACATAACCTAAAATTTAAAAGAAATGCACTAGATTCTGTCATAAAAGTTGGCAGATTTTGTTTGAATTTACCTTCAGTACAAAAATGAAATAAACAACAATTAATAAAAACGCCAAATTGACAAGTTGCATTGTTAATTTTGTCATTTTTGTAATTAAGCTAAATTTAAACAATGTTTGTCAACTTTTTTGAGAGATTTTGAAAAGACTGTTGTTACCAACCATAACATAATAAATCCACCAGATTAACCTAAAGTTCCTAGTCGATCAGTGGCGTACTTTTTGGTAGGATAAAGGTTATTATAAATTATTTTTAGACTTTGGAATTTAGAAAAAAAAGTTTCAGGTGCTTCTTTATGGACCCTAAGGAACAACCCATTTTAATATATAACATTAATTACATAACACCCTGTATATATATATATATATATATATATATATCGAAATATTTCTTCTTTCAGTTATGAGACCGGAAACAGCATCAAGGCCGACGAGCAAGGCCAACTGAAAAACGCCGGTTCAGAAAATGAAGCTGAAGAAGTGCAGGGTTCCTACTCGTACACCGCTGACGACGGTACCCAGATCTCCCTTCAGTACGTTGCCAACGAAAATGGATTCCAACCCGTGGGAGATCATCTCCCCACTCCACCACCAATCCCGGCCGCCATCCAGAGGGCTTTGGAATGGATCGCAGCTCACCCAGAGCCAGAGCAGAAGCAACAAAAGTTGTGAAAAGTTTTGCTCTTTGTAAATATGAGGATTTGATATTTTTATAAATAAAAATTAAAAAAGAATCCAATTGTTTTAATTGATATAATTTTATTTTGTTGGCCTTCTTAAACATCTTAGGGTCTAACTTATTTTTTAGACTTATACTTAAACTTATGCTGAGCATCACTACACCTACCCTGAATTACTTTCTGAACTTCCTTTTCTGAAACCTTATACTTTTCCATTATGTATTCCGTAATATCACCAATAATGTTAGAGTTCAACTTCTTCTTGTGCCTTTTTCCATCGATGGTAGAATGTGCCAAATCGTATTCAGCGAAGAAATGGTTTAACAGGGCTCTTGTGGCGATAGAATACGGTCGATCACTTACTGTTTTTAGAAGAAATTTGTCTATTTGGGTCTTGTTCGAACCTAACAATACATTAGCACGTTTTGGATTTTCATCATCATTTTGTTTCTTATTAGTATTCTTGCACTTCTTCTTAAGCTTTTGTAGAATCTTGTTACACTTAATCATAATTAATTTTTTTACGTCCTTTTCTGTAACCTCAAACTTTTTCATTACGTATTCAATAATATCACCAATTATTTTAGGGTCAAACTTCTTCTTGTATAAGATTGTGCTAGAAGTGCTATGGAATGAAGAATGTGCCAAATCTTCTTCAGTAAAGAAATGCCTTAATAAGATTCCTGTGACGATAGAATACGGTCGATCACTTAACGTTTTCAGAAAAATGTCGTCTATTTGGGTGTTGTTTGAACCCAAGAATACTTTAGCAGGTTCTGAATTTTCGTCAGTATTATCATTTAGTTTCTTAGTAGTATCCTTGGACTTCTTCCGAAACTTTTTAGTAGTTTTACGCTTATTAGGCTTTTCATTAAATTTAGGCTTCTTGAATTGCCCCGTAGGTATGTTATGTTCCTTGTTTTCATCACTCATTTTCCTTTTCTTCGATTGTGGTTCTTTGGGCTTGGTACTTGGAAAGTTTTTCATTCTTATAGCCATTTCCAACCTTATTTTTTCCAGTTTACGTTCAGTAGTATCATTTTCAGATATAAAACTCACATCCATGGCATTTTTCGTTTTTTCATTATCGTCCGAATCATCTCCATCAACATTTATAATTTCCAATGGTGTAAATTGTTTTTCACATTGGTTTTCCCACTCATCTAGTAGATCTCCTAACTCTGATATATTTTCTTCATTGTTTTTATCCTTAAGAATATTATTCTTCAACGATTTCTCCTGGTTTTCTTCATGAATGCCTTGAATAATGCATTGGAGGTTGTTTAAAATTATTTTCTGCTTTGAAGTCATTTTGGTACAACACTTTTATGAATCAAAAAAATAAGTATGATTAAAATGGAATTGACATATTGTTTTATATGTTATTTTTTTACCTGTACTGACTAAAGTGTACCTCTATATAATGGTAAAGGATTAAAATTTGGTTTTTATTTTATGTTGTTATTAAACAATTCAATTCAATTAGTCGAGGTAATTTTGTACATCACGAAATAGGAATTTTGCCTGAATCTGAAAGTACCACTATTTCCATTCAAAATCCCTTTTTAAATAAAAACTTATAAACTTTAACTAACGATATTACAAAGAATGGAAAATAAATTAAAATAATTCAAAAGGACTTTGAGTTTGCACAAAAAAGATTTTCTGTTTTTCAATATATAAAATTTTCAAAACTCAAAATAATAAATAAAAAGTAAAATGTATATTATATGTATAAATACATCGTCTATATTATCTACAATATTTACGTATCTTTAACGGTTTGTTCAGTAGTATTCTTGGCCTTTATTTGAAACTTCCTATAAACATCATGACATTTATGCTTGATTGCTTTCCTAACTTCCTTCTCTGCAACCTTGCACTTTTTCACTACGTATTCCACAATATCACCAATTATTTTAGGGTCTAACTTCTTCTTGTGCAATTTCCCATCCATTGTAGAATGTGCCAAAACATCTTCAGTAAAAAAATGGTTTAATAAGGCTCTTGTGGCGATACCCGGTCTATCACTTAATGTTGTCAGAAAAAAATTGTCTATTTGGGTCTGGTTTGAGCCTAATGATACATTAGCACGTTCTAGATTCTCGTCAGCATTATTATTTTGTTTCTTGGTAGTCCTCACGAACTGCCGATGAGCATCATGATACCTAATCATGATTATTTTCTTAACTTTCTCCTCGGTAACCCCGTACATTTTCATAACGTATTCAACAATATCACCAATTATTTTAGGGTCTAACTTCTTCTTGTGCAATTTTCCATCTAATGTAGACTGTACCAAATCGTCCTCAGTAAAATATCATTTCAGTAAGGCTCTTGTGGTGATAGAACAGGTTTTATCACTCAATGTTTTCAGAAGAGATTCATCTACTTGGGTCTTGTTTGAACCTAAGAATACAGTAGTACGTTCTGTATTTACGTCATTTTGTTCCTTAGTAGTATTCTTGGACTTCTGTCGAATCTTCTGTTGAGCTTCACTACACCTAATCTGGATAATTTTTTTTACTTCCTTCTCTGGGACTTCAAACGTTTTCATTGCGTATTCAATAATATCACCAATTATTTTAGAGTCTAACTTCTTCTTCTCGAAGACTGTGGTAGAATTGCCATCGATTGTAGAATGTGCCAAAACATCTTCAGTAAAGAAATTATTTAATAAGGCCCTTGTGGCGATAGAACACGGTCGATTACTTAATGTTTTCAGAAGAGATTCATCTACTCGGGTCTTGTTTGTGCCTAAGAACACATTAGCACGATCTGAATTTTCGCCAGTATTATCATTTTGTTTCTTAGTAGTATTCTTGAACTTCTTTTGAAACTTCTGGCGAGCCACACTATATCTAGCCTTGATTAATTTTTTAACATCATTTTCAGTAACCTCAAACTTTTTCATTACGTATTCAATTATATCACCAATTATTTTAGGGTCCAAATGCATCTTGTGGATGACTGCGGAGGCATTTCCATCAATTATAGAATGTGCCAAATCCTCTTCAGTAAAGAAATAGTTCAATAAGGCTCTCGTGGCGACGTCACACGGTATATTACTCATTGCTTCCAAAATAAATCCGTCTATTTGGGTCTTGTTTGAACCCAAGAATACATTAGCACGTTCTGGATTTTCGTCAATTGTATCATTTTGTTTCTTATTCATTTGGAGCTTCTGATAAGCATTATAGCACCTATTCCTGATAAATTTTTTAACATCCTTTTCTGTAACCTCAAACTTTTTCATTGCGTATTCAATAATATCACCAATTATTTTAGGGTCTAATATCTTCTTGTGCATGGCTGTTGTAGAATTGATATCGATGGTAGAAATTGCCAAAACGTCATCAGCAAAGAAATAGTTCATTAAGGCTCTTGTGGCGATAGAACAAGGTATATTACCCATTGCTTCCAAAAGAAATTCGTCTATTTGGGTCTTGTTTGAGCCCAAGAATACATAACCCTGTTCTGGATTGTTTGTGTCTTCAATGTTTGGGTTTTCTGCAACAGATGTACTATTGCTTTGTTCCTTAGTAGTCTTACGGTTATTACTAGGCTTTTCACTCAATCTAGGCTTCTTGAATTGCCGCGTAGTTATGTTAAGTTCCTTGTCCTCATCACTCATTTTCCTTTTCTTGGATTGTGGTTCTTTGGGTTTGGTACTAGGAAAGTTTTTCATTCTTATAGCCATTTCAAACCTTATTTTTTCCAGTTTACGTTCAGTAGTATCATTTTCAGATATAAAACTCACATCCATGGCATTTTTCGTTTTTTCATTATCGTCCGAATCATCTCCATCAAGATTTATAATTTCCAATGGTGTAAATTGTTTCTCACATTGGTTTTCCCAGTCATCTAGTAGATCTCCTAACTCTGATAAATTTTCTTCATTGTTTTTATCCTTAAGAATATTATTTTTCAAAGATTTCTCCTGGTTTTCTTCATGAATGCCTTGAATGATGCATTGTAGATCGTTTAAAATTCTTTTTTGCTTTGAAGTCATTTTGTTAGAACACTTTGTATGAATCACAAAATAAGTATAATTAAAATGTAACTAACCTATTGTTTTATATGTTATTGTTTTACCTTACTGACTAAAGTATACCTAAATTATAATGGGATTAAAATATTGTTTTCATTTTATGTTGTTTTGAATCAACACATCGTAATCCCCTTTATTCAATTAGTTGAGGTAATTTTGTACATCATGAAATAAAAATTTTGCCTGAATCTAAAATTAACTTTTTCCTTTCAAAATCCGTTTTTAAATATTTTCAATATATTTCTGATGAATTTTAAAAACTTTAACTAAACATTTTCCAAAGAAGGAAAAAAAATTGAAATAATTTAAAATGATTTTAAAGGTGAAGAGTAGTACTTTTAGATAGTATAATGAGTTTTTCAGATAGAAAATACATTTTGATGAAATATAAATCAAGTGTTAAAGAAAACTTCGTCAAATTTTGTAGACATTTGATATTAAAGGAAAAACAAAATTTAAATTATAAATAAAAATGGACCAACCAAAATTTTTCTTCTTTTGAAATTAATATAAATAATTTTTTTAATAATTTTATTAACGGTTAACGATATTTGTGCCTAAAAATTTACAAATTATTCAGGTTCGAAGTACATCGGAATCAAACCGTTTTATAAATAAAAAAAGAACAAAATTTGCAGCTTTAAAAACCAATAAATTATGTTAAATTTTATTAGGGCTACCAATAAGAAATGTAATTAAATTTAAATTAACAACTAATAGATTAATTTAAGATTCCAAAAACAATGTAAACATTATAAATGCAGTAATACGGTAATTTTAAAAGCACTGTTCAGGATATAAATTAACAAGTTCTCTGTTAAAAGTATTGCTGAAATACACATGATTATTCACTTAGGGATAGTACCAAAATTATTCTTGTGTTAAATTAAATAAGTGAATCTGATTGGTTAAAATTCTTTAACAGTATTAAAAATAACATTATTGCCCTCAATAGGTAATCATTATGTACCTTAAAATTACAATAAACATAAATAAAACATAAATATTTAATGTTTATGTAGCTTAATTTTTACTATTTAATATTACTTTTTCAAACACCTTTAAATAGCATTTTTTTATTAGTCATTTTGATCAAATATACAATTTGTGGTATTTAAAACCGTTGTATCTTATTAGCAAAGCATATTTTTACAGTTTTGAGTTTATATTAGGAAGAACATTGTGTTAAGGATTAAAATATCGTTTGCATTTTATGTTATTTAAAAAAAATTTAATTCGATTAGTGGAGGAAATTTTGAATTGTTTTTTTTTTCAATTTTCGGAGGTGTTTTGACGTTTTTGAGTATAGCTTGAAATCTAATTGATCAATTAGTGAGCTAAACTACAGAAAATCATAGTAAGGTGGGCAAAATGGCTGTATTATACGTTAATCTTTTTTATTAAATGCTTTCTTTTAACAATTATAATTTTTTTTTAGACTTTTTTTGAAACTTATATTGAGCTTCACTACACCTACCCCGGATTACTTTTTTTACTTCCTTTTCTGCAACCGTATACTTTTTCACTACATATTCCATAATATCAGCAATTATTTCAGGGTCTAACTTCTTCTTGGACATTTTACCATCAATTGTAGAATGTGCCAAATCATCTTCAGCGAAGAAATAGTTTAATATGGCTCTTGTGGCGGTAGAACACGGTCGATCAGTCAATGTTTTCAGAAGAAATTTGTCTATTCGGGTCTTGTTTGAACCTAAGAATACATAAGACGGTTCTGGATTTTCCTCAGTAATATTATCTTGGTTCTTAGTATTCTTGAACTTTTTTTTTTTCTTGTAAGCATCATTGCACCTAATTTTAATTAATTTTTTAACATCCTTATCTGTAACCTCATACTTCTTCATTACGTATTCAATAATATCACCAATTATTTTAGGGTTAAACTTCTTCTTGTGGAGTTCTCTGGTGGAATTTCCACCGATTGTAGAATGTGCCAAATCATCTTCAGTAAAGAAATAGTTCAATAATGCTCTTGTGGCGATAGAACACGGTCGATCACTCAATTTTTTCAGAACAAATTTGTCTATTTGGGTCTTGTTTGAGCCTAAGATTACATTAGCACGTTCTGGATCTTCATCAGTATTATCATTTTGTTTCTTAGTGGTATCCTTGAACTTCCTCCGTAACTTCTGCTGAGTCCCACCACATTTAATATTGATTAGTTTTTTAACATACTCTTCAGTAAGCTTGAACTTTTTCATTAGGTATTCAATAATATCACCAATAATTTTAGGGTCCAACTTCGTCTTGTGGAAGGCTATGGTAGAATAGCCATCGATTGTAGAATGCGCCAAGTTATCTTCAGTAAAGAAATAGTTCAATAATGCTCTTGTAGCGGTAGAACACTTTCGACCAGTCAATGTTTCCAGAAACAATTCGTCTATTTGGGTCTTGTTCGAGCCTAAGAATACATTTTCCCGTTCTGGATTGTTTGTACCTCTAATGTTTAGTTTCTTTACAGTATTGGGCTTATTTCTAGTTTGACTAGGCTTTTCATTCAATTTAGGTTTCTTGAATTGCCGCTTAGGTATGTTAAGTTCCTTGTTCTTATCACTCATTTTCCTTTTCTTGGATTGTGTTTCTTTGGGTTTGGTACTTGGAAAGTTTTTCATTCTTATAGCCATTTCCAACCTTATTTTTTCCTGTTTACGTTCATTAGTATCATTTTCAGATATAAAACTCACATCCATGGCATTTTTCGTTTTTTTATTATCGTCCGAATCGTCTTTATCAAGATTTATAATTTCCAATGGTTTAAATTGTTTTTCACATTGGTTTTCCCATTCATCTAGTAGATCTCCCAACTCCGATATATTTTCTTCATTGTTTTCATCCATAAGAATATTATTCTTCAAAGATTTCTCCTGGTTTTCTTTATGAATGCCTTGAATAATGCATAATGGTGTAAATTGTTTCTCACATTGGTTTTCCCACTCATCCAGTAGATCTCCTAACTCCGATATATTTTCTTCATTGTTTTTATCCATATTATTCTTCAAAGATTTCTCCTGGTTTTCTTTATGAATGCCTTGAATAGTGCATTGGAGGTTGTTTAAAATTATTTCCTGCTTTGAAGTCATTTTGGTGCAACAGTTTTATGAACCACAAAATAATTATGATTAAAATGGAATTGACATATTGTTTTATTTGTTATTTTTTTTACCTGTACTAAAGTATACCTTAATTGTATTGGTAAAGGATTAAAATATTGTTTGCATTCTATCTTGTTATTAAACAATTCAATTCAATTAATTAAGGTAATTTTGTACATCACGAAATGGGGATTTTGCCTAATTTTAAAAGTACCACTTTTTCCCTTCGAATCCCGTTTTAAATAAAAACTACCGATTTTCAAAAAGAATTGAAAATAAATTAAAATTGTTCAAAAGGGGAGAGTAGAACTTTCAGATGGTATCGTGACTTTTGCAGAAAGAAAATAAATTGTGATGAAATATAACCTTAAATATTTTATTTAAAAAAAAAGATTATGATTAAAAATTTAAATAAAAATATTATTCAATTAGATTTGTGTAACGGTTGACGGAAAGACTTTAATAAAAATGCTATAGATTTATGTAAAATTATATATTATATGGATAAATTCATCGTCTAAATTTTCAACAATATTCCCTGCAAAACACCCTTACAATATAAGAGCATTTGTATTCTTAAACTTCTTACGACCATAACTACACCTAATCATAATTAATTTCTTAACATTCTTCTCTGTAACTTCGTACTCATTACTACTTCATTGCGTGTTCAATAATATCATCAATTATTTTACTTCTTCTTGTAAAGAAATTTGTCTATTTGGGTCTTTTTCGTTCGAGCCTAAAAATACATAACCATGTTCTAAATTGTTTGGTTTTCCTGCTACAGCTGTACTATCATTTTGTTTCCTAGTTTCTGGGCTTTTTATTCAGTCTAAGCTTCTTGAATTGATGCGTAAGAATGTTTTTTGTTTTCATCGTTAATTTTCCTTTTCTTGGATTGTGGTTCTTTGGGTTTAGTACTGGGAAAGTTCTTCATTCTTATAAACATTTCCAGATATAAAACTCACATACATGGCATTTTTGGTTTTTTCATTATCGTCCGAATCATCTTTATATGAATTTTCAATTGTTTTTTTTTTCAATTTTCGGAGGTGTTTTGACGTTGGCTTTAAACTATCGTTATTATACGTTAATCGTTTTTATTAAATTCAACAATTATAATTTATTTTTAGACTTTTTTTGAAACTTATGATGAGCTCCATTACACCTAATCCGGATTACTTTTTTAACTTCCTTTTCTGCAACCTTATACTTTTTTACTACATATTCCATAATATCAGCAATTATTTTAGGGTCTAACTCCTTCTTGGACATGTTACCATCAATTGTAGAATGTGCCAATTCATCTTCAGTGAAGAAATAGTTTAATATGGCCCTTGTGGCAGTAGAACACGGTCGATCAGTCAATGTTTTCAGAAGAAATTTGTCTATTCGGGTCTTGTTTGAACCTAAGAATACATAAGCCCGTTCTGAATTTTCCTCAGTAATATTATTGTGGTTCTTAGTATCCTTGAACTTTTTTTTAAACTTCTTGTAAGCATCATGACACCTAATCATAATTAATTTTTTAACATCCTTTTCTGTAACCTCAAACTTCTTCATTACGTATTCAATAATATCACCAATTATTTTAGGGTCAAACTTCTTCTTGTGAAGGACATTGGTAGAATTACCACCGATTGTAGAATGTGCCAAGACATCTTCAGTAAAGAAATAGTTCAATAATGCTCTTGTGGCGATAGAACAAGGTCGATCACTCAATCTTTCCAAAAAAATTTTGTCTACTTGGGTCTGGTTTGAACCTAAGAATGCATTATCACGTTCTGGATTTTCTTCAGTAATATCATATTGTTTCTTAGTAGCATCCTTGGACTCCATTTTAAACTTCTGGTTAGCATTCTTACACCTAATCAGAATTAATTGTTTAACATCCTTCTCTGTAACATCGAACTTTCTTCTTACGTATTCAATAATATCACCACTTATTTTAGAGTCTAACTGCTTCTTGCGGAAGGCTGTGGTAGAATTACCATCGATTGTAGAATGTGCCAAATCGTCTTCAGTAAAAAAATAGTTTAACAAGGCTCTTGTGGCGATAGAACACGGTGTATCTATCAATGCTGCCAGAAGAAATTCGTCTATTTGGGTCTTGTTTGAGCCTAAGAATACATAACCCCGTTCTGGATTGTTTGTGTCTTTATTGTTCTGTTTCTTAGAAGTTCTACTCTTATTTCTAGTTTGACTAGGCTTTTCATTCAATTTAGGTTTCTTGAATTGCCGCGTAGGTATGTTAAGTTCCTTGTTCTTATCACTTATTTTCCTTTTTTTGGATTGTGGTTCTTTGGGTTTGGTACTTGGAAAGTTTTTCATTCTTATAGCCATGTTCAACCTTATTTTTTCCAATTTACGTTCATTATTGTCCGAATCATCTTCATTAATATTTATAATTTCCAATGGTGCTAATTGTTTTTCGCATTGTTTTTCCCAGTCATCCAGTAGATCTTTTAGGTCTGATATATTTTCTTCAGTATTTCTATCTTTACGTTCAGTAGTATCATTTTCAGATATGAAACTCACATCCATGGCATTTTTCGTTTTTTTATTATCGCCCGAATCGTCTTTATCAAGATTTATAATTTCCAATGGTGTAAATTGTTTTTCACATTGGTTTTCCCACTCATCCAGTAGATCTCCTAACTCTGATATATTTTCTTCATTGTTTTTATCCTTAAGAACATTATTCGTCAAAGATTTCTCCTGGTTTTCTTCATGAATGCCTTGAATAATGCATTGGAGGTTGTTTAAAATTATTTCCTGCTTTGAAGTCATTTTGGTACAACACTTTTATGAATCACAAAATAAGTATGATTAAAATGGAATTGACATATTGTTTTATATGTTATTTTTTTACCTGTACTGACTAAACTATACCTATATTATAATAGTAAGGGATTAAAATATTGTTTTCATTTTATGTTGTTTAAACAATTCGTAATCTCCTTTTTTTCAATTAGTTTAGGTAATTTTTACATAACAATTTAAAAGTATCACTTTTTAGTTGAGGTAATTTTGTACATCAGGAAATAAGGATTTTTTTAAATAAAAAATTATAAACTTTAACTTACAATTTTCCAATTTAACTAAAATATATCCGAACTTGTGGCGATTGACGGGAAGACTTTAATAAAATTGCTATAGATTCATATAAAATTGTTATTTTCTTAACTTCTTTCTCTGTAACCTCATACTTTTTCATTATGTATTCCGTAATATCACCAATTATTTTAGGGTCAAACTTCTTGTGCTATCGATTGAAGAATGTGCCTTCAGTAAAGAAATAGTATAATAAGAACTATAAGAACTATATAACTATATAAGAAATAGTATAATAGGGCTTCTGTAGTGACAGAACAAGATCTATCATGCAATGTTGCAAAACATCGTCAAATTTTGTAAACCTCTCCAGTAGCACAAAGATATTGGCCAATATATCTTTCGTCAGATTTTTTCGAGCATTGTCCAATATTGAAACCCAACATTGGCCCAAAGTTGTTTGACATTATATAACCGATAATGTTGAGGGAGAAATTGAAATAAAAACGTTAGTTTTCAGAAAATGTTTATTGTAGGTACTTAGGGGCGTCGTAGCGGGGGAGGGGGGTGACAATGCCCACCCAAATGATAAGGGGGAGAGGGAGGTGACTTGATATGAAATGCTAAAATCGTTTGTATCGTGTGCTAAAATAATCAGCTCGAGCTGTATTAACGTAATAACGAATTGTATTGCTAATATTAAGACAAGAAATCGCATATTACCCTTGTTATTCTTACGGTAATATGCAAGAATGGCCTTTATTATTTTCAGCCACAACCACTGGCTTGCAGAGAGATTGCAAAACTTTTCTCGTCAGTATTATAATTTTGTTTCTTAGCAGTATTTTTGAACTTCTTTTGAAATTTATATAAATAATTGTCCGATTTATGCAAAACCAACACGTCTAATAACCATGAAACTGGTATGTGTTTAAAAGTGTTTTTTGATCGTGAGGTGTAAAATGGAAAATCATAAATTTTTCAGTTTTAAATATTTTTATTAGCGGTTTTTTTTCTTGGCCTTCCTAAAGTTATAAAAAACATCATTACACTCCATCTTGATTACGTTCTTAACTTTATTCTCTGTAAAATAATTCAAAAGGACTTTAAAAGAGGAAAGTGGTACTTTTAGATGGTATCATGAGTTTGCACAAAAAAATTACATTGTGATGAAATATAATAGACCAACTAAAATATTTCTGAACTTATATATATATTCAATTGTGTGATGGTCGACAGGAAGACTTTGATAAAATTGCCATAGATTTAAAACTGTATATTTTATGGATAAACACATCGTCTATATATATATTTTATTTTTTAGTTGTATTCTAAAATTTATTATGAGCATCATAACACCTAACCATGATTAATCTCCTAACATCATTCTCTGTAACCTTGTACTCTGATATTACGTATTCCATAATATCACCAATTATTTTAGGGTCCAACATCTTCTTGGGCATTTTACCATCAACTGTAGAGTGGACCAAGTCATCTTCAGCGAAGAAATAGTTTAATTAGGCTCTTGTGGCAATGTTTTTAGAAGCTATTCCCCTGTTTGGAACGTTCTGGATTTGTCTCAATATTTTTATTGTCCTTAATAGACTTCTTTTGAAGCATTTGTTGAGCTGTACTACACCTACCCATAATTATTTTTTTAATGTCCTTCTCTGTCGCCTTAAATGTTTTCATTGCGTATTCAATAATATCACCAATTATTTTAGGATCTAATTTCTCCTTGTGGAAGATTATGGTAGACTTGCCATCGATTGTAGAATGTGCCAAAACGTCTTCAGTAAAGAAATGGTTCAATAACGCTCTTGTGGCGATAGAACACGGACTATCACTTAATGTTTTCAGTTTAAATTCGTCTATTTGGGTCTTGTTTGAACCCAAGGAAACATTGACACGTTCTGAATTTTCGTCGGTATTATAATTTTCTTTCTTAGTAGTTTTCTTGGACTGTTGAAATTTCTGGTGAGCATTACAACACCTAATCATGATAATTTTTTTAACATCCTTCTCTGTAACCTCAAACGTTTTCATTGCGTATTCAATAATATCACCAATTATTTTAGGATCCAACTTCTTCTTGTGAGAGATGGTGGAATTTCCATCGATTGTAGAATGCGCCAAATCGTCTTCAGTAAAAAAATAGTTCAATAAGCCCCTTGTGGTTATAGAACACGGTTTATCACTTAATGTTGACAAAATAAATTCGTCTATTTGGGTATTGTTTGAACCTAAGAATACTTTAGCACGTTCTGAATTTTCGTCAGCATTATCATTGTGTTTCTTAGTAGTATCCTTGAACTTCTTTTGAAACTTCTGATGAACCATGCTACATCTAACCTTGATTAATTGTTTAACATCTTTCTCTGTAACATCAAACGTTTTTATTGCGTATTCAATAATATCACCAATTATTTTAGGGTCTAACTTCTTCTTGTGGTAGGCTGTGGTAGAATTGCCAATAATAGTAGAATGTGCCAAATCGTCTTGAGTAAAGAAATAGTGTAGTAAGGCTCTTGTGGCGACAGCACACGGTCGATCACTCAATGTTTTTAGAAAAAAATCGTCTATTTGGGTCTTGTTTGAACCTAAGAATACATTAGCACGTTCTGGATTTTCAGTATTACCATTTTGTATCTTAGTAGTATTCTTGAACTTCTGATGAGCATTATAACACTTGGTCCTGATTAATTTCTTAGCATCCTTCTCTGTAACTTCAAACTTTTTCATTAGGTATTCGATAATATCACCAATTATATTAGGGTCAAATTTCTTCTTGTGTAGGACTGTGATAGAATTGATATCGATTGTAGAATTTGCCAAATCGTCTCCAGTAAAGAAATAGTTTAATAAGGCTCCTGTAGCGGTAGCTCCACACGGTGAATGACTTAATGTTTCGAGAAAAAAATTGTCTATTTGGGTCTTTTTTGAGCCTAAGAATACATAACCCCGTTCTGAATTATTTGGTTTTTCTGCTACTGCTTTATTTAATCTAGGCTTCTTGAATTGACTTGTAGGTATGTTAAGTTCCTTGTTCTCATCACTCATTTTCCTTTTCTTGGATTGTGGTTCTTTGGGTTTAGTACTGGGAAAGTTTTTCATTCTTATACCCATTTCCAACCTTATTTTTTCCAGTTTACGTTCAGTAGTATCATTTTCAGATATAAAACTCAAATCCATGGCATTTTTCGTTTTTTCATTATCGTCCGAATCATCTCCATCAAGATTTATAATGTAACTCTTGTTGATACTTCTGTATTAAGGAACAATTTTCCCCGCATTGATATATTAGGTTGTAATATTATGTATAGGGATCAAAGTGTTATTATTTTTATTTTATACATTCCTCCTCAGTTATCATGTATTGAATTTGTCTCGTTTATTGAAGAGCTTGAACTATATTTATTAAATCATAAAAACATTGTAGTTTTGGGTGACTTTAATGTTAACAAATTTATTAAGATGGATCTAAATAACCTAAAGTGTCAAGCCATCTATGATCTACTTAATGTTACTGGCCTAAATCAATTCAATAACATCCTAAATAATCACAACAGCCTTTTAGACCTAGTAATTAGCAACTTGGAGTGTGAGGTGTATCATGATACACAACCTTTTGTACCATTAGATCCTTATCACCCTGCTTTACAAATTAACTACAAAATAACCTCTTCTAAGCCTGCAATATTTGATACATATAAAAATATACGAACATATAACTTTAAGAAGGCGGACTTTATCGGTTTGTATGAATCACTTCGTCAGGTTGATTGGAACTTTTTAGTAGCCCTCAACGATGCTGACTCTATGTGTCAGGGATTTTATGATAAACTTTATAATATCCTTAATAATTTCGTGCCAATGTCAAAGAATATTAAATGCAAATATCCAAAATGGTATAGTCCTTCAATCATATACAAATTAAAAACTAAAGATAAATATCATCGCAAATACAAGCGCTCGGGTTTGGTCTCTGATTATATTGAATTTTCAAGACTTAGAGCTAGTGTTAAACGTGACGTTACTAATGCATATAAAACATATTTAGCCACAGTTGAAAACAGCATTAAAAACGATCCGAATAGCTTCTGGACATACATTCGTGATAAGAAGGGATCGTCTAGGATTCCTGGTAAGATATATAATAATAATAATAATAATAATATATTTATTTGCCAATAAGATCATATACAATGACATAAGCATGGTCAGAAAAAGAACAAAATTGTAAGACAAAAACACTAACTAGACAAATTTTAAAAGGAAATATATACATATAGTAATTTTTCAACTCAAAGAAGTACACATTAACATAAAAAATTAACTGTAAAACAAAAAACAAGTAAATAACATAGGTATTGATGTATAAATAACATATTGATGTATAAATAAAAAATGTACAAAACAATTTGAGACAAAAAGTTGTAATTGCACAAAAAAACAGACAATCAATATATTAGCATTTAAATTTTATAGTGATAGACGATTAAAACGGACATTGTAAAAACTCATTCAGAGAGTAAAAACAGTGGTGTAAAAGGAACTGTTTTACTGTTTGTTTAAAATTTGTTATAGACTGTATCTCCTTTATATCATTGGGCAACTTGTTTGAGACCGCTATACACCTGTACAAAACACTTTTGTGAAATAATTCAGACCTATGTAATGGAACTCTTAATAGTGCACCGCCTCTCATATTCATGTTATTA